GATTCTACCCTTCTCCCCACAGGCCAACTTCAATTCTTTGAAGTCAAGCTCAGTTTTACACATCTTTCTAGCTTAGGGGACTTAATACAGTATCCACTACTTAGTGAATGTTGAGTCCATTTGTTTGTTGAATGAATAGCTGAGTTTCTCAGTTGGTCCAGATTCAAAGGCTCTTTAAATCTAGGCTTAGAGTAACTAGGGCAGGAAATCTATATTTAGGAGTAGTTACCTGGTGTTGGATTGGAATTGGGAAAATGGACCAAGTGAAAGAAATTATAGTAATCTAGGCAGGAGGTGATAGAGCGTGGTAGAGTAAGTAGTAGTGAGGGAAAAGGCACAAACCTAAGAAACAATGTGTGACAAAATTAGCGCAGATGAATTTGCTGTGGGCACAGAGGTTATGTTGGAGTCAAAGTTTCCAGCTATGTGACCCTTCCCCTCCTTTTCTTTAAGAATGTGTTGGGTGATTATGGATGGGCCTTGGTTGACTTAATAAGTGAGTCAGCAGAGTAGGTCTCTGGACTGCTGAACCCTGAGCAGTGTGCTAACAGCAGCTAGAGCCAGGGCAGGCTCAGCTTGCACATTGGAGATTTTAACTCTTTTTGGAACTGAAAACTTTGGTTTATTTCTAGATACATTTATGCTTTCTGAGTATATTCTGAACCAAGTCTTTTTTTTTGTTATTGTTAAAGATTTATGTATACAAGAACTGGGGTGTAGGCTAGAGGTGTGGGGGTGGGAGGAGTGAGAAGATTCCCCAGAGAAAGTGTGGGGGAGCAGAACAGGCCACTCTACGGAAACACTTCTGAGGGGATCGAACTCATGCTGCTGTGGCTGGAGATAGCCTCATAGTGCTGAGACTTTAACCTCTGTGCCACCTGGGAGGCCTCTGAGTCAGGTTTATTTTACTTTGCTGTTGAGGTAAGCCAGGTGACTCTTGGGGAGTTAATAGTCTTTGGTATTGTGTTGCTATCCCTGCTGTCCCTCAAGACTTAGACACTCAGGATTCTCACACTCCCAGATCATCGGCAGTGCAGCTGCAGGCTCCCTGCCTGCAGACCCCTCCTGCTCTTAATAGTTGTGCTAATAGAGGAAAACAGTTTCGTAGTTTCTGGACGTACCAATTTTGAATATTAAAGCTACACATAATATTGATTTGAAGATTGTGTATGTGGAGATAAAAATGATTTCCTTTGTAACTAATGCTCAGATCAAGAAAATATTGTCAACCCAGAATCCCTCCTCTCCCTGAATAGCCATTCTTCTGATTATAACACCAGGTGGCTTATTTTTAATTAATTAGTTACATAATAATTACATAATTAATGAATACAAATGAATAATGAAGGATATATTTTGGCTTCTTTCATTCAACATGTGTTTGTGAGATTCATCCATTGTGCATGTAGCAGCATTTGTTTTTGTTTTCTTGTAGTGTTTTATGAGTAACCACAGTTTATCTGCTCTACTGGTGGTAGACATTGGGTTCTTTTAACTTTAAAGGTATTATGAATAACGGTGCTGTGAACATGTTTACCTTCTGGTGTATGGCTGTCCAAATTTCTGCTGGATACATTACCCAGGAGTAGAATGACAGGCTTCTACATCCCACGTGTGTTCAGCAGCCGTGCGGCTTTCCCAGAGCCATCTGCGCCCCACGCAGCATGTCGGTGTTCAGTTGCTCAATGGCCTCAGCCACACTTGCGACTGTCCTTTTAATTTTAGCCATTTTGGGGGGTGAGTAGCTCTACCCTGCTGTTTTCTTATCTGCATTTCTCCATTTCCAGTGAGGCTCAGCACTTTATGTCAGGCTTTTTGGATACCCTCCTTTAAAACTATTTTCCTGTCCCTCCCCCCACACCCTCCATTGGGATCATTTATTTTTTCCAAGTTGAGTTGTAGATATTATTTTATACTCTGATAGTTTTCTATGAGTTAACTCTGATGGAAATATCTTCTCCCACTTCTTTTATACTTTTCACTGTGCCATCTGATGAACATTCTGACTTACCAGTCTTTTCCTTTACGTTACTGCTTTTATGTGTTCAAGAAGTTTTTCTCTTCTTTAGGCTCATGAAGATGTTCAATATTGTCTTCTAGAATCGTTATTATTTCACCTCTCACACATCTACAGTCTGGATCTGCAATCCAGCTGGTATTTTTGTGTGTGTGAATGTGACTCTTGGTTTTGAGCTAATCTTATCTCTCCTAAGCACACCAAGATCTGGTTCTTGAATCCCAGGCACAAGCTGGGAAGTAGTTGGGTGTATCTGAATCCTGAGCGTTCTTCATAAATTAGTCAGCACAGTGCTGCAGTTGCCTTTGGGAATTAAAGTCTTCTCTCCCTACCACACCATGGAACTTGGGTTTTGCTTTGTTCTTTGTTACTTGAGAGCATAGTCTGGAATATTACGGCGTCTTTCCTTGCCGTTAATTCCTTTGTGCACTGCAGTATGGATTCTGGCCACACCACCTGCTTGAAACAGCTGGCAAGGGTTCTGGTGGCCTTCTTAGCCAAATGGGGAGACTTTTCCATTATCCTCTGGCCTTGTGCAGGTTTTGAACATAGCCTTTATATCTTTATATCTCTGTTTTGATTGCATGACCTTGGCCAGTGCTTAGCTTTCTTTCCTTCTCCTGTAAATGAAACCCATTTGGACAAGCCTAGCTAGATTTGTTTGGGACAAAGCCTTTAAACCTGAGGGCATGAATCTCCAGTTTCAAAGTAGGCTTCTTTTGCTTTGCGTTGGTCTGTTTTCTAAGACCAAGTAAAAATAATAGCAACCATAACTATGAATTACTTAATTCCTTAGAGTTTACTTAACAGCTTTATAGGGATCACTTCATTCCATCCTCCGAATTTCCTGGGAGGTAGGTAATTGGCGTTGCAGTTGGAGAACAGTCGGAGAATGCAACCGCACATTTATTTGTTCTTATTGAGAAACACCTGGTAGTGCCACCAGATATGGTTTTGGCACTTCCTTCTTCCTGCGACCATTACCTGTCCTGTGATCCTTGTGGATACTTTTGTCTTTCCATTTTCTGCTGGAATGTTGGCTTCTTGGGTTGGAGCAGGGTGGATGGGGGGCAAGAATGGGAATGGAGGTAGAGTTGGGTCTTGGAGGTTTTCAGGAACTTGCTGTATAGCCTTTCGTTCTGGGTTGACATTTGCCACATTCACAACATTAGTCGTGGTGATTTGGTGACTGAATGCGTTGAGCTCAGGTTTTTTAAGGGTTTTTTCCTAAAACAATTCACTATAAGAAAAAGTTGTAGAGCAACTTGAAGACATATCTTTAGCTTTCAGGGACTCATTTTGGCTCCAGGAGAGCTTCCGATTTATTTGAACTAAGTAGCTTACTTTTGAATTAATTTTTTTTAAAATTTTCTCTTGAATTATGTTTTTATTAATTTTTTTTTTGCCAGTAAGTTACTTTACCATGTGAGACTTCCCTTTAATTGTTCCCACAAACTTTCTTTTTAAAATAGAAACAAAATAGCACACAGTTTGATATACCAAACAGATCAAAGCAGTATTTTATATAAATCGCTTAAAAATGTTTGAATTCTTAGCATTTATTTAATACCTCAGTGAGAACAGTGAGGCTGTTTGTTCGATGCAGAAACTTGAAACAACAGGAGAGTTTAAGGTCTTGATTCAGCAGCACATTCATTTCTGTATTTGAAAGAGTTACATGGTTTTTAGTAAAACAACTCGCAGCCCAAGGATATTTTTCACTTGAGCTGACATATATATTGGTTGAAAAGGCGTAAACAGCTATTACAAATATAAAATTTCTGATAGAAAATGATCTCAAAAGAAAAAAAAAAGCTGGCACTGCTGTACAGTGACTCCTCGCGCCACGTGTCCGAGACCAGTTGTCCCTGGCAGCTGTGGTGCTGAGACCGCGGTGACGACGTGCCTGGCGCTGCCGGATGTGCTTCCACATGCTGGTTGGTTAGCCAGGCTTGTGCACGCGTGCTCCGCCTCATGGTATCAGTCCTGACAAGTCACGGGTAATGGCTGACTTTGCTCTCCTCAAAAGTCAGTAACTAGGCCTCTGATAATATCTCACTCTGGCGCAGAACACACTTGAGTGTGAGCTTACTGTTTTAAAATGTTGTTTATATAGTCAGTTTTCACTCTGGGGGCAATGGACAGGACATGGGGGCGGCGAGGGTGGTTAGAGGAAAGGGATTAATAGCTAAGAAATCAGAACTACTGTTGCCTCTTGATTATCTCTGGCGAGGCTAGTGCCAGTGAGGATTCAGGAGTGGTCTAGGACGCGCCAACCTTTGCAGGTGGGTTCTGTGAAAGAGTGTTGACTCAGACTTACTGCTGCAACAGTCGTTCCCCACTTCACTGAGAGAAGAGGGAGTGGGCCTGGGGGCTCTGTGTGGAAGAAGGAGATGATGAGCGCCAGGGCCTCTGGCCTATGGCTCTTCACCAGCCTGAGTGTTTCCCTGACCCTGGGTCTCTGTAGGCCTGGCCTGGGAGTGTCTGAATTTGAATGCTCTGCTGGCTGACATTGAGGGTGGACTGAGGGTCTGACTCCAAAAGCCCTGAGTCCATGCACCGGTTTGACTGCATTTGCCCTGAGTCAGTATGGCTGATTGCTCAGGTGGGAGAAAACAGAATTGACAGCCGGGCTGCCTAGCCTTCTCCCTGATTCCTCACTCCTGCTTGTTCAGTTTGGGTTGGTTCGGGGCTGTTTGCTTTCAGTGTGCGTCCAGATTTAGAGTTTGAGTTATTTTCCTTCTCCTTAGTATAAATAATTGAAAAAATGATTGCACAGTAGCATGGTTTTATAGACTGTACAGAAACTCTGGGTTTCGAGTCAGCTGGGAAATTCCCTTCAGTTTTTCTGGTTTACACCATGTATTTGAAGAATGTTGAACCAAAATGCTTGAGGGAAGTAAAGTATTATCACTGTTAAGTGTGACTTGGAAGGAACCGAGAAAATACAGTTTATTGATCTTTTTTCAAATTCCTTTATTAGGCATCTGAAGAAGCCTCCCTCAGGGCATTGGAAAGTCTGATGACAGAATTTTTTCATGATTGTACAACCAATGAAAGAAAACGTGAGATAGGTGAGTGTGAAGTGTTACTGATTACAAAAAAAGACCACAGTGGGGAGGAAGGAGTTGATAGCTGTGGCTGGTCAAGCCTGTATGTTCCCCTTCTAATTCTTGTTTCTTTTGTCCTGTTTCTGGTGGTTGGTGAGGCCTGAAAATCTAGCTGCCAGGATCAGTCCTTGAGACCTCCTCTCCTTTCCTGTGGCCACGGGTGGGGAACCCTTCTGGCATGTTCTTAAGTTTGAACTTTGTACGAAGCATGTGGCTGCTAATTAAAATATCAAAACAAAACATAAAACAACTCATACAGGTGTCAAAGTGAGCATGTATATCTAATCTGAACCTAGTTTAGTGCCCAGAGGTGCTTTAACTGGGGCTTCCTTTGGAGGCTGCTCTTATTTTCCTTACCTCTACTCTTGTCTGTCCCATTCTGCAAGTTTTGATAAAGGGTCAAATGAGAGAGATGTAGGTATGACCCCTTGAGCTCACCTGGGTACCTCTGCACCTTTTGAATTTTATATTCTTTCATATGAACGACATGCATCAAAGCATGCAGTAAAGTAGAAAGTGCATTCAAGCACCAGATCCCTGCCTCACAGAAAGACTGTGCCAAGTTCTCATTTAACCCCAGAACTTGAGAACAAAGATTATTTTTCTTTATTCATACTTAAAGCCTTTCCCTTGTGGATACCCAAATTCACCTTGTATCTGTTGCTTTCACCTCCATGAAGGCTGTTTTTCTGCCTCTCCAGTAGGCTGAAAATACATTTCTTCATTGCATTCAGCTTCTCTAAGTTATGTTATGTTCACCAGTTAAATATCATGATTGGTTTCTGCCTTTGGTCCAAAGCTTGAGTGATACTCGGACTTGCAGGTCACCCAGGAGACCTTTGCTGTAGCCATTTTTCCCTTATACCTTTGAATATCACATCAGCTCCTGGCAGATGCTAATTTCTTATCTCTAATTTTATTTTATTTACTTTTTAAAAAGGATTTATTTATTTATCTCTACAAGAACAGGGGTACAGGCCAGAGGTGTGGTGGTGGGGTTGGGGGTGGTGAGAGGATTCACCAGAGACTGAGTGGGAGCAACAGAACAGGCAGGAGCTGTGGGTGGGTCAGGAGAGGTCCACTGTGCCATGTGGGTCACCTCCCTGGCTGGGGATTGAACTCGTGCTGCAGTGGCTGTGATAGTTTCATAGGGCTGTACTTTAACCCATTGTACCACCAGGGAGGGCCCTCCACTTGTGATTTCAAAGGAGGAGGAGGTTCTCTCTCACACAGTCTACTGTATTCTGCTAGATTGCTCCTCAGCTCTCTTTTTAGCTTATGAGTGATATGTTTTTGTTTTTTCTCTTAATTTTTGCTTTGCAAGGCAAATATTTGCTCACCTTCAGCATTCATGAGTTAACAGTGGAAGCTTCTGAACATATTCATATTCTAATCTTATTTTAAAATAGCATTAAATAACCAGATGCTACAAATGACAAATTTAAATCGCAGGCTAAGGGGAATCCGGGGGTTTGGTTTTATATAGTGGGTGTGTCTTAGTACAGTTCTCTTTGTTCTTATTCTTCCTAGCTTTATTTGAGTGTGTGGGCTGGAGCCACTTCTTGCTTCTTTTTTAATGCCTTAGGATAAACTATAGGCTTTTCTGGCTAGGTGGGAGAAAGAAGGGAGGACAGGGTTTACAGGGGCGTCACTGCACTCACCCTCCTCTAAAAGTGTGTTGTTAGTACGTCTGTGTGCACTCTTGTGTTTATATCTGTCTGTCTGTCTGTCTCTTGCTTGCTGTTAATGGGGAACCTCCAGTCAATCTGGTCATTTTAACAGTGGAGGAAGCCGAAGCACTTTAAGGAGTAGTGATTTTCTTGGGAGTCAGACTTAGTGAATAGGTGGCAAAGTCTGCTCTTCATTTAGAACTCATTCTCTCCAGTTTGATTTTACCTCTTTACTTATCTCTTACTTAATTATAAGAACAAGCCATCAGATTCCTTTTATGGGATTTTTCAAACTGAGACTGCCTGTGGCAGTAGCCTAGGTTGGGTGCTAACAGAAAGGGCCTTTAGATGTGGCTAGAAGAGGGACCAGAACGGGCCCTGTGCTGCTTGCTTTCCCAAGGGCTTCCTAGGGGCAGGGTGCTGCCTTTGTGTTTTTGCCTTTCTTGTGTTACATCTCATGTCTGCTGCAGCAGATCAAGGTGACTAAGGGGCCGTATGCCCAGAATCATGGCGACAGATTCTTACTGCTGGCGCTGCCTCACCGGTTCAATGCGGCCAGAGAGGCTCCTGGCGAGTCCTGTGCTTGCTAAGCTTATGTTTTTGCGTGGTATTTTAAAAGATCTAGGCATCTTAAATTCTCATTCATTTTCCCTGTTCTTTTTTTATAAGATTAATCTTGATCTTTTCTAGCCATCATTCTGTGTGGGTGGTAAGTGGTGAGGACACTATCTATAGCTCATACCCCAGAGGAAACAAGTTAACGATTAGCTTTCATTTTAAGGTGAAATTGTTCTCTTATATTTTAATTGTCTTTCCACTTACCAGGCTCAGGTTAAGAAACAGTTTTAACAGTGAAAGTTTATCTACTAAAAAAGCCTGTAGCAGGACAGTTACTGGATTTTGTGTGGTAGAGATGCCATGGCGTCAATGTTCACAGTCCTCTCAGAGTCACAAGTATTCAGTGGTCTGTCCCTTCTTTTTGAAGAGTCACAAGATTTTGTACTTGATTTTGACATCATTTACATTGTATGGAAATAAGTGTGTTTAAGATGATAACAAGACAGCTCGGCCTTGTATTTTCTTGTAATTTCATAGCTCCCCCTTTTTTTTTTTTCTTTGCTATTTAACTTTTCCAGAGGAACTTCTTAATAACTTTGCTCAGCAAATAGGAGCCTGGAGATTCTGCCTGTATTTTCTCTCCAGCACTAGGAATGACTATGTAATGATGTACAGTTTAACGGTTTTTGAGGTAAGTTGTTAACTTTATCCTTGCTCTGAAAGGGTTGCCTGGCATTGGCACTTAACTCTCGCCCAGCTGGGCAGATGGCTGGGAAGCAGTGGCCCTCAGCTCAGGGGCTCCTCACACACTGCCCTTCACCCAGATGGCTGGTGTTTTGGGACACCTTTCCATCTCCTACCCCAGAAAGGTATGACGGAATTAGGTAGGTAGGTAGGTAGGTCGTTTGTGGCAATAGGTAACTTTCCTTCTATTGTTATAACTTAAAAGAGAAAGGGAACTAAAGACAGTTTGAGAGGATGGATGAAACCATAATACCATTATCCTAACCACAAAAAGTTTCATTATACCCACTCTCATCTAGTTTTTTTCTTTCTCTACATACCTTTAAAAAAAGCTAATTTTGATCATTTTGCTCATGCCACTTTTATTTTTATTTATACCCCTATTCAGCCCTTTCTCTTATTTTGAACATTGAAGTTTCTTTATGTGTTGGTGGCCAGGAAAGCCCCCTTGTGATGAAGGCTTTGCACATGCCTCTGCTGGCTTCTGTTAGCTCACTTACCTAATTTGGGGAGGGGGGCATCATAGGATTTGGACAGCTTTATTATTCTTCTTGCCAAAGTCCCCAATCTTTGTCGTGACACAGGTAACTATTAGAGAAAAAGCTGTTATTTTTGTGTATAGGTTGTTAACTTAAAAGATGTATATTTGCTTTTCAGAATTTGATCAATAAAATGTGGCTTGGGGTCCCATCTCAGGATAAGATGGAAATCCGTAGTTGCCTGCCCAAGCTCCTCCTGGCTCACCACAAAACCTTACCATACTTTATCCGGAACAAGCTCTGCAAAGTCATTGTGGATATCGGCCGCCAGGACTGGCCCATGTTCTACCATGACTTCTTTACTAGCATTCTTCAGGTAAGGGTGTACCCAAGCGAACTTATCTTACGAATTGTGTGTTTGTAGAAGTGATCACTGCCTTGTCTTAAAGAGGAATTTTAGCATTTTGGAACTTAAGTGGCAAGGTCACTGAGGGCTAGATTATTTTACTCACTTAACTTTGTTTTTTTTGAGACATGTTGCACCTCTGTGCGGTGGAGGAAAGCAGGTGGGGGCGGGCAGGACTCAGTTGCTTTGTTGACCTCTTGTGAAATTCTGTTCAGCAAATATTTGAAGTCCTGTTAGGTATTTCACCAGGTGTTAGGATGATCCTTCAGTAACTATAATTTAGTAGGGAGCTAGCCATGGAGACAGTAATTATCTAGTGATGTGGTAATTGCTGTCGAGGAAATAGGTGCAGGATGCTCTGGTCGCATAGCCTTTAGACCCAAGGAGCTGAGACTTTCAGGGTTGCTCCTGGTGAGGTGTCAGGCAGTGGGGCGGGAGAGCGAGGGGCTGGACAATGGGCCGGGGCCAGACAGAAGGGGACAGGCTCCTGCCCTGGGCTCTGTGTTTTTATCCACAGTTCTGTGAGGAGCTACTGAGAAGCGTAGAGAAGGGGGAATGCGTGGCGAGAATACTTACGTGGGAATGACAGCTCCGGCAACACAGTGGAGTGTGGCTCACCGAGGGTTGAGGCTGCGTGAGGGAGGCAGTAAGGCCACTGCTGGGGAAGGCTGAGCGAGAGCAGGAGACTCAGCCCAGCAGAGGCTTGTGCCTGGGGATGGGGATGGAGCATGCAGGAGATGGAACCAAGAGACTGGCAGTGACTAGGCAGCAGTGGTGAGGGAGGGTGGAGTCCAGATGCCGTTCACATTTCTGGTGCAGACAGCAGACTTTCTAGCCCAGCCATGCGGGAAGAAGAAACAGATTTGGGTAGAAGCTGGTGAATTCAGTTTGGCAGAAGATACATTTTAAGCGTGTGTGTTCCCTTTTTGCATATCTAGTGAGATGTTTGGAAATGTGAATGTGAAAGTCAACAGGAATAGATGGGACCTAAGAATCAGCAGGGAGAGACTGTTCACTTGGATCTTCTGAATCCTGTGATAAAGTTGGGGACATTTTCATGTTACCGAGAAACTGTGTTTGCTGGAAGTGGATCTTATGTACAGTTCATGGAAATAAAACTGTTTGAAAATTGGTTACGGTGACTGTAGGCTCAAGATTTTTGAGGACAGTATCACTTTCTAACGTTCTGTTTCCCTGCAAGCTATTTGGATGACGCAGTAATTAAAGTCCAGCATCCACGTTGCTTCTCTCACATTATTTTGCAAAGGGGCACACAAAATTCTTCACTCAATTTTGTTTTCTTCAGTGATTCGTTTATCTAGAGATTGTTGGATCGATAGATTCCTACGTTTTTCAGTAAAATGTTGAATACCAGCTATATACTAAGTACGTGCCTGGCATATAGCAATGAATATACCACCCTCCACCCTCATAGAACTTACCATTTTGAGGGGGGAGGCACCTGTAATTAATAAGCGGATGAAGAAAACCAACAACCTTTCAGGTGGTTGTAAGTACTATGCAGTAAATGAAATCCATGGCCAGGAGAAAGAGACTCTCAGGGGCTGTTATTTAGGTGGGATGATCTAGAAGGCTTTTCTGAGGAGCAGATATTTGAGCTGAAACCTGAGTGTAGGGGTTCGAGTGAACCAGGTGGGTGTCTAGGGGAACAGTGTTTTAGAGGGACTAGCAAGTGCAAAGGACCTGAGTAACGGGATGAGGGGTGAGAGGTGCTCTGATACCTTTGCTTTCATTACAAGTTCTAAGTCTCCATGTCCTAAGACAGAGCCAGCAAGTCCATGGGAGATGGAAAAGACCAACACACTGGGGGTCTCAGTGGACTCATTCCTGGGTTGGTCAGTGACATGTCCCATGAGAGAGGCACTAAGTGAGCCAGAGCTCTGCCGCCAGCAGGCGAGGGCCTGTGTTTTCCCCAGGCGAGGATCAGTTCCTTTGAAGGACAGGCATTGCCAATCTAGTCTGCCTTGGATGTCGAGTTAAAGATAACAAATGGGAATGGAAGAGACTTCTGGGCGAAGTGCTCATGGAGACTTATACAGGCCCACGGTCTTCTCTGTCACCTGCCAGTTGCCCTTTCTACCCCTCAGATGTGACTTTAGCCTCATACAGCTTTCATGACTTGGAGACTCTACTGGAAAGAGTGCTGAACTGAGGGCAATAAGCCTGGGCTCTGTGTCCATGTTTATCACAAATACCCAAGAAGAGCAACTGCAGCCACTTACCCGTGGGCTTCCATTTCCTTCTTTGTAAAATAAGAGCATTGGACTGAATGATCTTTCAGATCCTTTCCAGTTGTATTGTCTCTACTTACCTATTTATTCCTGAGAACCAATCAGTAGCATGTGAGTCCTGTCAGGGGTGACTGGTATTCAACTGCTGACATTACTAATAACAAAAACAAAGTCAGCCTTTTCTTCATGTAACAGTACACAAAACCAAATCAGTGGAAACCAATCAAAGCCAATATTAACTCAATAAAAAGTGTTACTAAAAAACAAATGAACAAACAAAAACAAAACAGAACTGGTTGTGGAATCAACTGTACCATAATGTGATCTTTTCATTAAACCAACTAAAAGGTTATTTTTATTTATTTTATTATTATAATAGTTTATTTTTACATCACTTTTTGTCTCTAAAAGGTTATTTTATTGAGTCAGTTCCATTGTGGTTGGCTTGCATAGCTTTTTCTGGGGTGCACAGCTTTTAATTTTGCTTCTTTTTAAAACTCTTAAGACAATGCCGGGCATTTGTAATTTGTATCATAATCTGCCGGGCATTTGTGTAATTTGTATCATAATCTGACAATTATTATTCCAGGAAGAGAGGAGTGGATTTGGGTTCCCAGAAAGATACTAGAGTTCTGGGTGTTGATGATAGCCTTCCTTGGCCACCGGCGAAGGAAATTGTTAAGATTAAAATTGACTCCTGCAGTATAAAGGACCAGGGGAGAAAATAATGATGAACAACTATATACCAGAGACATTTCACAGGGGTGGAGTGGGGAATGGGATCAAAATGGTTGGGGAAGGGAAGTGCACTGGACTATGGTGATGGCACAGGGTGATTTGGTGATGGGAAACCCATGGGGATTACAACTGAGATGGAAAAGGCACAAAATGATTAAAAATAAACTATTATTTAAAAAAATTTATCAAGCATCTACTTTATGCCAGGCCTTTGTGTTAGAATAAAGATACAGCAGAACTTTCAAACTTCCAGTGAGAAGAGACATATAAGTGAAATAAAGCCATTATATAAAATAAAACAAAACAAAACAAAACAAAACAAAACAAAACAAAACAAAACAAAACAAAACCAGATAATGCATAAGTGATAGGTAAGGAAGAGGCAAGATACAAGGACTAGTCACTTTGACAAGGTAGCCTGAACAGAAAGCCAGTTGAGAAGTAAAAAAGATCAACTCCTGCTTCCTTGTCTCTTCCCACCTCCTCCTGCCTTGACGTGCCTCAGTGCGCATGACACACCTCAGTGCGCATGACACACCTCAGTGTGCATGACACACCTCAGTGTGCATGACACACCTCAGTGTGCATGATACACCTTTCTGGAGTCTTTTCTTCAGACTCCAGAAAGCTGCTTGGCTGAACTTGGTCACATTTGCCTGAGGCCAGCATGGCTAAGGTTAGTAAGCAGCATGGGAAGAAAGAACTATTTCTTACCTGGTTGATTGGTGTGTTAAAAATTGTGGAAGCTTTCCAGAAGCTCACGCTAAGAACTTAAACCTGATCTTCAACCTACAGGTGCTTATTCAGGTGCAATTTATCAAAAAAATTGCAGCAATTACCTATGTTCTGAACTTAAATTCTCTAGGTGAAAATGATAAACACTTTTAATACTTTCTAGACACAAAGCCAGCAAGGATACTTAATGTTTTATCATAGTGTTTTTTCAATAAAGAATACTTTTGCTTTTTAACTGACTTTTTGCTGACCTCCCCTTCACCCAAACGACGAGAGAAAGGAGAGTGTTAAGATATATTTTCCATACTGCAGGAATTTTTTTAATATGTGGGGAGCACAGAAACTTACTTAGTATCTGGTGAGCACAGAGAAGTATATTACCAAATGGAATATTTAGTGATACCAGTCAACCCTTGGCTGGGAGGGTAAGATTGAGATCTTTGGAGAAAATGGAGACCAGAGATGTTGTGGGGGTGGGGGTGAAGGAAAGAGGTGAAAGGGGAAGAAAAAGAAATATTTAAAATTACAGATTGAAATTCAGAAGATAACCACGTGGAAAGAGGTCAGTTCTACCTTCTTTTGTAAAACCACTCTTTACAGGTGGGATTTCCTGTTCTGCTGTACTATCTGGATTTAATCCTGTCTTAGAAATAGTCTAGAGGTGTAAAAAGTAAAGAATTGTGTCACTTAGAACTGATTTAATATAGAGCATTTTTACATACATTAGTCATGACTGGTTTTACATATTGCTGCTGCTTTTTTTTTTTTAATGATTTGTTTATTTATGCATGTAAGAGCTGGGGTATAGACCAGGAGGTGTGGGGGTAGGAGGGGATGAGAGGATTCACCAGAGATAAAGTGGGGAGCAGAACAGGTGGAGCTACTTAAATACACTGCTGAGGGGAGCAGTGGGTAGGACAGGAGAGGCCTGCTGCGACATATGGGCCAGTCCCCTGGAGATCAAACTCATGTCGCAGTGGCTGGCAATGGCTTGATAGTGATGAAACTTAACCCCTTGGGCCCCCAGGGAGGCCCCCATAATGCTGCTTCTGAGGGCACTTGCATTTATTGTAAGTTCCCATTATCCAGTGCTTTCTCTCCCCTCTGGGGAAGAGATTTTTCTTGGTGTGCAGTGAGAAGAGTTGTTTCCAGGGAAGGGGATTGCCCTGTTATCTTGGAGTGGAGACTGTCCATTCTGTTTGGTTCAGCATCTGGAGTGTCCTCCTCTTGAAGGGCTTATGTTTTATAGACTGAGCAAATAAATAACTTATTTTTAAACGTACGTTTAAAGTTAATTGTGACTAAAGAAAATGGTCAGGTGTCCCCTAAATTGCTGACCTGGCTATAGATTGTAGCATATACCACAACAGCGAATTGTAGTCACAGTCACTGTTAACATTTCTAGAAACTTAAAAAGTAACTAATAGTAAAGCTCTGAATTTTGTAAAACTGATTAGAAAGATAAAAATAGTGTTATGCTGTGGAATGTGTGCCTTTTTATCTCTTGTTTAAAGAAACTTTCTTCAGGTAGGTGAATATTGTAGATGATAGAAAAAATAAATTTGCTATGTAGGTATTTGCAAGATTGTAACTAGCCATTGTTGAATGATATCTGGGCATACTTCTGTTGTGCTACATGTTTAGTCTTGAACTTTTATAAAACATGTAAAGCTTAGAAGTGTAGTGTTGAACCCTCAGTGTTGAAAAGATCACAGATTTGTTTACACATATCTGAATCTCAAGGTAGCCAAGTCACTTGTGAATCTGGACACGTGTAAAAATTGTCGTGTGGGGTGTAAAAGAGCATTCTTTTCAAATTTATGGTATTAGAATTTTGTCTTTAAGGTGAAGATATATTTTGAATGGTTAGAGAAGTATGTAAGTGTACTATGATTTTTCTAAGCTTTGATTGCTGGCTCTGTTTATATGTAAGAGCAATAAGCACACAGATACTTCGTAGGTTTAAGGTTATGGAGTCCTCTTGGTACCTTAATTTGCCAGATTCTGAGTTCAGAACTTATTTTTTCTTGGCAGTTAATCCAGTCCCCTGTGACAACCCCCCTGGGGCTGATCATGTTGAAGACAACTTCGGAAGAGCTGGCTTGTCCCCGTGAGGACCTCAGCGTGGCGAGGAAGGAGGAGTTGCGGAAGCTGCTGCTGGACCAGGTGCAGGCGGCGCTTGGGCTCCTGACAGGTGAGGCTGGGCTGAAACGGAACCGGGTGTGGGCGCCTGCCCTCCGGTGTCCTGTGTGCGAGGGCCCCAGGGAGTGCTTGCGACTTCCTCACCTGGCAGTTGGTGTGGATTAATGGTTATGTTGGTGTGATCTGTGATTGTGTGTTAATCGTTAATTGATTAATGAGGTAACAGGAATGTGATTGAAATACTGATTACTGCAATGCTCAGTAATGTGGGTGGTGAGGACGTTGGTTAAAATAATTTGAATTGAACATCCAGGGAAGTTGGAGGAGGAGAAAGTTGCTAATTCTGAGTAGGACAGGGAGACAGGGAGTCAGATTGGCCTCAGTACTAGGTTGTAGTTGTGCGTGGTGCTTTCTTTTCCTCTTGTTTGTTAAAGTCTACTGACAATGTGCAGCAAGTAAGAATAAAGAGAAAGCCAACTGTAGAAAGAGACAGGGAAACAGAGGGCGGGCCCCGAATCCCAGGCTGTGGCCCATGCGAGGAGCCTGTTGGGTGGCTGCAGGGTGTCTGGGTTGCTGTGGAGGCGCCGTGGCTCAGCTGCGTCTGTCTCCAGCTCTTCCACCCAGCTCTCTTCCTGGTTGTCTGGGGCTTTTTCTTTTGTGTGCTCAGTTTAGTGCTGGGCATGCAGCAGGCACCTCAAGCTGGTCATCAGAACTTGCTTGAGCAAAAGTGAACTATGTCAATTTGTCATTTTGTGCCTTGAGCTGTAAAGGGTTGGGGGGTGGGGGGAGTAGACACCAAACTCAGCAGTTTTTCTTTCAGCGCACAGTGACACTCCTAACTCTGGTTGTCACCATTTCTGATGTCTGTATACAGGCTCTAAAGTCATGTAAAAATCGAGATGCAATTCCCGTGTCATGAATTGCCAATTTAAAGTAAAACAAATCTTTAGTTTTCAGTATATTCACAAGATTGTATAACTACCGTGGTTGTCTAATTCCAGGGCATTTTTATCACCCATTCCCCTTAGCCTTGGGCAACTGCTGGTTTGTCTGCATGGACTTCCTATTCTAGACTTGTCATAAAAATGGAATCATATGATGTGTGACCTTTTCTGTCTGGCTTTTTTTACTTAGCATGATGTCTTCAAAATTTACCTAAGTTGTGATATTAAATATCTTGAGAACAAAATATTAAAAAAGTATAATCATCAATGTGCTAGGTTCTCTAAGGAGATACAAAGAGAATTAAAACAGTCCTTTCCCTCTAAGAGTTGTCCTTTAGGAGGGGAGAAGGTGGCCATGCAGTGGGCGAGGGCCCAGGTGTTTGCATGTGCAAGCAAAGCTGAGCCGGTAGAAGACTTCTTTGAAGAGGGGGCAACTGAGTGGGATTCTGAGGAGCAGATGGTAGTAGAAGGGTCAGGTTGGGGTTGGGGGAGGAGGTCTGGTCAGCAGTTGAGGAGGAGAAGGTCACTTGTGAAAAGAGTGGCTTCCTGTTGAATGTGATGAAGTCTTTGTGGGGGCCCTGAAAGCTGGGGAGGTGGATCACATGGATGAGCAGAGGCCGAGCATAAGAGGATTACTGCAGGTCTGTTAAAAATAGCAGTTGAGTTTGAGTATCCAAAAGTTGGTGTCCAGGAGGCAGTTGGCTGTGTGGTTGACAGAGGGGTATGTCGATGCAGGTGTTTGACCAAAGATAGCAGCAAACCAGTTATCTAAACATGATATTCATCTGGTGAACTTTATCTCTCTTAAACTCAGTTTCTCCTTTTTTTGGTAGGTATCTTGGAGACAGTCTGGGACAAACACAGCGTTACTGCTGCCACCCCACCACCATCCCCGACCTCAGGAGAGAGTGGTATGGTTTGCCCCCCAACATGTGATGTTCCTCTTTTTAAATGCATTTGGGTATCTCTGCAAGGTGGCACTTACTTATCTATGGCAGATAAGAGTTGCTAATGCTTCCTTAATCTATTTTTTGACCTTTCTGCCCATGCTTTCTAAATTCCTCGTAAGTACTTGCAGTTTCTAATACACTATTTTGAACAGCATGTTTTGCTTCTTCCTTGTCTACTAGGAAGCAGGGACTTTGATCTGTCATTCACCTTCATCCCCATCAACTTAGAACTGCGGTCTTCCCTCATTTGTTCTCCCTTCTCCCCACATTTCTTGGTTGCATTGCCCTTGTTGAAGTTGATCTGAGCCCGTGGGCTTGACGGGTCTGCTCCATGGAGTCCCAGGAGAGGGAGGGCCGTGGGGTTGGGAAGTGCGTGGACATGGGGCCAGTGTGTAGTAGACAGCACTGACTTTTGCTAGTAAAGCCCGGGCATATTTGCAGTGAAAGTTATGTCGTCATTATTGGTGGCTAATTATTGTCCAGCTCTGTCAGTACCTCTTTCAGAAGTCAGAGTTCACCAAAAAAAATGGGTACCTTTTAAGCACAGGTGGAAAGAGGCAATTGTGTCCAAATAGGAATTTTTAGTTTGTAAATGCTTCTGTTTACACTACATGGTCACAGTGCTGTCAAGTACACCCTGTGTTTTTTCTCTACTGTAAAGGTTGACTTGGCGAGTGAGGGATGTTTCTACATCCTTCTTCTCTACCCCAGGAAGTGAACTGTTGAAATCAGGTGCCTCTGAACTCAAACTGGTCATGTAGCCTGCTGCTCTGTGGGAGTTGAAATTCTTGCAGTTACTATAGGATTGAAAATATGTCATGGAGTTTTGAGGACTGTTCATAGCTGTAGTATACTAATTTATCCCAGGTCCCCTTTATTATACTTGGATGAAAAACTGCTGGGAGTCATTTGTCATACTCAGATAAAAGCTATGATGGAGGTCTGGGACATGTTAAAAATCCACAGAAAAGTGAATTTTATTTTTAGTTGGTGGCAAACCTTCATTCTCACAGTGGAATTTTGAGGAGGCTTAGCAGGTTGATATTTTCTAATACTGGAACAGTTAAGAAATTACTGCGATGGAGCAGAGATTTTATGAGTGCACACCTTGGAGTCTCCTGCCATTTAGTTAATCTTAAATTTTGCACGTTCCTTTAGTTTGCAAAGATTAGTTCTTTTGAATTAGATTTTTTTAGATAGTTGAGTACTAACTTAGCATCTAGTACAAGTCAGCAGCAGCATTTTATTCTAGTAAAACTTGTTTTTCTGAAATAATTTTCCAGTGCCAAAAGTTGTGTTTTTGGCACCTGCCCGAGCTAACTCTGTTTAGACTGTCAGACTGACTTTCTGGAGGCCAGGTTGGGGAATACAGGATCTTAGAGACCAAAACTACATACTTATTCTTTCATGTGTTACCTAGGCTTTGTTTATGAGGTTAGGTGAAATAAAATGTGAACTGATTTGATACTTTCATAAAAGACAAACTCCAAAAGTAACATTTTGTGTACATTTTGAGAATTGCCTTGTAGACACTGTTAAAAGTATTCTGAAATGTTAAATTTTATTATTTGAGGAAAAGCAAAATAAACTGGGGGTGGGTGGGTGGTAGAGGAGTTAGGTAAACTTTTAAGCTGGTGTACTTCCCCTTTTTACAGAAGAATTATGTGTTCATGTGTTTTGGTAGTTTTTAATGACATTTGTAAGTAAAGTCACCAGCTTTGTTATTAGAAAGCTGTTGGTGATGTAATCAGCATGTATTTGATGCCTTTGTGCATCTTAAGACACCAAGTTATGAGTAGAACTTCTAGAAAATTGTTTAGTTTTGATCATAAGCTCAGTTTCGTAGAGGAAATTCATTTTGAGAAGCTTACGGTTTAGTGAGTAAACCAGGTGATTCCTAAACACACTCCTCACCCAGACCCTTCCTGTCCCACTTAGCACCAGGGGTTTTGGTCTGCCTGTGTTTGCAGATCTTTTCACTTACATGCCACTTACAGAAAAGTGGGAGTTGGAAAGGTCACTCATAACTGTTGTGTTCGAGTTTGCCCCTTCTAAGGACTCCATGAATAGATTCTCCTTATTTCTCTGAACTGAGATTATAATTAGTAGTGGATCTCAGTTGGGGGGGATTTTGCTGTGCAGGGGAAATTTGGCAACGTGGAACACTGTTTGGGATACCATAGCCGGAAGAGTGAGCACTGCTGGCCTCTGGCAAGTGGAGTGCAGGTGTGCTGCTAGAAACCCTGCTGTGCAAGGAATTGCCCAGCCTGGTGATGCTTGCTCATCTCTGTCTTAAAGAGCTGCATGTCATACTAGTGAGGTCCAGCACAAACACCTTTTGCCATAAAGTGCCAGGGGACAACTGTTTGTTTATACCTGCTTTGACCACGAAAATTAAATCCCTTATGAGTAAATGACAAAAATCCTCATTTTTAGTGAGTGAGGAGATTGAGGCTGAGACTGAAGTTAGCTGTGATTTGTTTATATTCATCCCACATTAATTACTCTGAGACAGCAGTTCTCAATAGGTCTGGGGACTCCTTAAATCCCAACCTTTCCAGGGGTCCCAAAGGTCAAGTGTGTGTTCATAAAAATATTACAACAGTGTTTGTCAACTTCCTCTCATTCTTATATAGAAAAAGCTTGTTCAGATTCTACATTGTAATTAACTTTTAAGGACTACGAATCCTATTTTAACATACTAGTAAACAGCCAGTTAATCTAAAAAGCTCACTAAAACTCTTCTTTCTCAGTTTCCCATCTGTACAGCTGCATTTTCTTCATGCACTTCAATGAAAACATAACTGCAACAGGCTGAATGCAGAAGCAGATGATAATTTTTCTGTCTGCTTTTAAGCTACAATATTAAAAGGACTTCTAAAAATGTAAAAATAGGACTGTTCTTGTCACTAATATTTTGGGGGAAAAATACAGTTTTTTATTTGAAAATGTTATTTATGCTAACTGGTAATGGAGCTGTCATCATTAAGTAAATAAATATTTGAAAACTTACCAGCTTTAATTTCTATTATGGCAAATACTGCATGAAAGTGTAAAAGGGTTCTTAGACAAAAACTTTTGAGACTGCTGCTGTAAGGTACAAAATAAGATAGAACAATTTACCTGGTACTTCAGCAGATAAAAATAACATCTTTCCAGAAATACAGGGGGATGGTATGTGCACACCTGGACAAGAAAGATCATGTGCAACAAAAAGGCAAAATGACATTGTATCTTTCTTATTTTGATGACAGAAAACAGGTCAAAAATAAATTTGCTAATTCTTGTGCCTCCTGGATATGGGGAGAAGCCCAGGCACGGCTGAGTTGTCCCGGTGGCTTCAGAGGCGCCATGAAGCTTAGATGAGGGAGGGGACTTGGGCGGCAGGGGAAGGCCAGGTCTGAAGGGCTCCAGGAAAGCACAGTGACAAAGATGGACATTTAATTTCAGCCTTGTCCTGTATATATATTTTTTAGTAAAGACATATATTTTTACCTGAATTTGACAGCATTTTAAGCTGAAAGAATTGCTGGTCTTGAAATCCCCCCCAACCCCCCCCGAACATTATTTTGTGAAAGATACCGCTGACCAGTTTCTTACTACGTGTGTTAATTTTAGACTATGCTTTTCAAAATCAAATCTTACTGGTTTGCCATATGCTACCTTACTATGATTTAGGGGTCCAACGTCATACCTGGACATGTGCACATGCTTCATTCACCCATCAATGCTGCCTGTCGCATGCCTGCCCACACGCCGCCCCTCTCTACCGTGACCCTGTTTTTTGAGAGTTATAGCTTGTGAAAGATGAGAGAACTAGCTGGCACATCCTTCTATAATTCTTATATTTGTTGAGTCTGAAGTTTATATTTAACTCAAAATTTGCATTAATTAGTCCTTTTGCTACAGCTTCTCCATTTCCTAATTCTTTTTAAACATCTCTTTATTTGCATAGTTTCATTGTTGAGCACCCTCAAGAGGAATTTGTGGACAGTATATTAATGGGAGTTTTTGCATGTTTGAGGAAAATGTTACCTTTCTTTATATCAAAGGGCATTCTTGGATGAAGTCATTCTTTGCCCCAGAACTTGTAGACATTGCTCCATAGTTTTCTGGTTTTTAGTGTTTTTTGAGTTGAGGTGTCTGAATTTGGTGTTTTCTGTTGACTTTCCTTTCTTACTAAAGTCTTTATATTGATTATGCTTTATAAATTTGTGTGTGTGTGTAGGGGAAAGACTAAGTCCCTTTATTTTGTAGAGTTACGTGTTTTTATTCAAGAAAGTTTTTTTGCTACAGTCTTCAAATTGTAGTTCTTCTCTAAACTAGAGTCCCTCACCCCCACCCATTTCATTTTGTGTGATTTCCTTTAGTTCAGTGCTTCTAACTAGATCTTTGCCAAAAGCTTCAGAAAGCCATCCAGGACTTGAAAATTAAGCAAGCATAGCAATCACTCGGAATTGTAAAACACAGCTTCCTGGGTTCTGCCTTTCAGTTCTACATTAGTAGTGTGGGTAGCATCTGATAATTTGTATTTATTTTCTTTTATTGCAGTAACATTAGTTTATAACACTATATATATTTTAGCATATAGGTTTACACGTTTTCAGATGTTGGTTACTGCAGCACATCACCCACTAAAGTACTAACCACCCTCTGCACTGGTCCACTGTACCCTGAGTCCTTTCCTCCTGCTTCCCAGGAGGAATAATTGATACTCAGCCTTTATTTTTAGGTGTATAACATAATAATTTGATGTAGGTGTACATATTGCAAAATGACCACTGCAATAATGAGAACTTTTAAGATCTTCTTAGCAACTTTCAAATGTACAGTGCAAAATTGTTAATATAGTTGCCATGCTCTTCGTGACACACCAGACTTCTTATTTTACAGTTTTTGATCCTCTTCCCCTATTTTGTCTCTCTCCCAGCCACCACACAGGGTCCCTTCACATTATATTTGTAGATAAAGCTTTATATCTTTACATCTACTGATAAAAGCTGAGAAAATTTACAAATAAATATTCATTTAAAAATTAACTGTGATTAGCTCATTACATATAAAAATAACATTTTAATGAAAATAGCTGCCTTTTCTAAAATTGAAACAAAAAATCTTCTAAGAGTTGTGGCATTACTGACATTTTTAAAATATGTGACTTAATGAAAGAAAATGTCTAATGAAAGAAAATGTCGGCTCTCTCTGTGTTGCATTCACATGTAATGGAGCCTCTGGAAAGCACCTTTACAGTGAGCTAGGAAGGGAGCCTGTTTGTGTTTTTTCAAAAATAGTTTTGAACTTATGAACTCTGAAAAGGTCTTGGGTGTAACCCTTAGGGATACTCAAGCCACACTTTTTTTTTTTTATTAAAAAGTTTATTTTTACATCATTTTGCACATTTTTTTTTTCATCTCAATTGTAATCCCCACGGGTTTCCCATCACCAAATCACCCCTGTGCCACCACCATAGTCCCGTGCATTTCCCTCCCTTTCCCCCCCCCCGTTTTTGATCCCATTCCCCACTCCACCCCCACAGAATGTCTCTGGTCTATGGTTGTTCATTATTTTTGTTATTTTCTCGCCTGGTCCATTATACTCCTGCTATGAGTGAAACCATCTGGTATTTTTCTTTCTCTTTCTGGCTTATCTCACTAAGCATGATCTTTTCCAGCTCCATCCAAGTTGCTGCAAAAGACATGTGTTTCTCTTTTTTGGTTGCTGAGTAATATTCCATTGTATATATGTACCACATCTTTCTAATCCAGTCATCTACTTTTGGGCATTTGGACTGTTTCCATGTTTTCCAATTGTAAATAAAGCAGCAATAAACATGGGGGTACAAGTATCTTTTTCAATCAGTGTTTTTGTGTCTTTTGGGTAGATACCTAGGAGTGGGATTGCTGGGTCATAGGGAAGCTCCATGTTTAGCAGTTTGAGGAACCTCCAAACAGTTTTCCATAGTTCAAGCCACACTTTTGAGCCTCTGCCATTTCGTAGTGATGCTGAGGATTTCTTTTTGGCTTATTACTTAAATTGGCGTGTAAGAGATTTGATGCCGTCTGTCTTAGACCTTGTTTGTATTTTCAGGTGACTTACTGAGTAACCTATTGCAGAGTCCTAGCTCATCCAAACTACTGAGTCAGCCAATCCCTATCCTTGATGCGGAGAGTGAGTATGTTTGTTCCCTGGCATTGGAGTGCTTGGCTCATCTCTTCAGTTGGATTCCTCTGTCTGCCAGCATCACCCCATCTCTCCTTACCACCATCTTCCACTTTGCACGCTTTGGCTGTGACATCCGGGCCAGAAAGATGGCATCAGTTAACGGCAGCAGCCAGAACTGTGTGTTGGGTCAGGAGCGCGGCCGGCTTGGGGTCCTGGCCATGTCCTGCATCAATGAACTTATGTCCAAGAACTGTGTGCCTATGGAATTCGAGGAGTATTTACTACGTATGTTCCAGCAGACTTTCTACCTCCTGCAGAAAATCACCAAGGATAACAATGCCCACACCGTGAAGAGCAGGCTGGAAGAACTCGATGAGAGGTAATGAAAACAGGTGTGGCGTCGGCTGTGCCCCGAGAAAGGGCCCTGGCTGTTTGTTACCTTGTGCCGCATAGTCTGTAATCCTCTTTGGTTTCAGAACTGGGGGCCCCTGGTGAGGCACAGAAAGGTAGGTCTGTATCAGTAAGTGTAAGATTAGCTGGAAGGGGTAGGGTGGTAAAGGGAAGTGAGTTGAATTTGAAAAGTGATGACGAATTGTGTAGGTGTGTTGTCTTCCCCCCACCCGTCTGTCCTCCTGCCCTTTCCTCACTATTTGCCTGCAGGTCTGAGGTGGTGCAGGAACTGATGCTGCCCATGCATAGCTGCGAACAGGAGAGGAGGTCTGCGAGGTACAGGGGTTACCATCACCCTTTCTCACTTGGTTCTGCGTGCCAGCTTTGACTATTGACTTTCCCAGGCAAATGTGTGGTGTTTGGGAATGTTGTTAGGAGTTACACAAATGGCAGGATTCGTCAGAAGAAAGGGCAGTTGTTAATGTGGGCGCAGCTACCCCAGCGCACGCCGTTCCCTGGCTCCGGCCCTCTCGGCTCCCTAAAGCTGCCTCGCCGCCGCCGCGCGCTCGGGGAGAGGCTGCGTCACAGCAGTCGGAGGCCCGGGCTGTGGCTTGTCTCCTTGCAGATGATGTTGTTTATTTCAAAATCTTCACCAGTGTGGTGCAACTGCTGTGTAAAAACAAGAGTGTTGGGAACTTATGTCAACTGCACAGAAACATCCAGGCAGATAACCTGTACTGAATCGTAAATACTGACAGGTTGCGTGGCAGCATAAGTTGTTCATATTTTAATCAGTTTTCCTTGGCTTGTTATTATATAGAGTTAAGCTATTTCCTTTTCTTTAGCTAATGTTAAGATACTTCTAGGGCTTTTTAAATTTAGCAATTAAGTTTTTCTAAAATGAAAAAATTTGGTACATAAGATTATTTTGGTTTGGTTTATTGTAAACTGACATTTTCTTTGTATAATCAACTTACAGTTTGGTACAGTAATACATTGGTTTTATTTTTCTTTAATTAGTGTGTGAATTCAAAAGCATTAATATTCAAGCACAATTTTATATCCTTTCTAGCTTTTGTTTAAGAAAGGCTGTATTTTCATGTTAAAGAAAAGCTAGTGCTTGCACCAACACCAGGTAGAGTTGCTTTGGCTTTCCTGTCATTTCGGCTTACCTTTGGGTGGTGTAGAGATAACGTCATGGGTTGTCTATTACTGATTCTGTTACATGTAACTTTTGTGATCTTGGTTTTATATTTTAATCCTATGCTTCCTATTGCCCTGTGAAAGCTGAGAGGTGCCTGGAAGCAGAAAGGTGACATAAACAATGCTGTGTGCTTGCTTCCTGGCTCCTGGGCCCTACCGCTAATTCTAAACAGCTAAGTCCGTTCTCAGTTGTTTAGGAGCTGCTAACTAGGCCCTTTGCTTCTCTTCCCTCTCCTGCCTTTTTTCTAACTTTACTGCTCATTAGCACCTGTACCAGAAGGTGGGCAAGGGAAAGAAAATGAGGTGAAATACATCTGTAGTTTTAGTGACTGAACAGCCTTGTTTGTATTTTTTTAAAAATTGGGTTGGAGTTTACAATAAAATTGAGGTTGTATGCTATTTTGCCCTTGACTTCTCTTTATTCTTTTATGGGCATAGGGAATTGAGGGCCTCTTTCTAAAGAGCAGTGAACTAGTTGATGACTGTCGAATATCCGTGCACCAGTGTAATAATGCAGCAAGTGGACGCGAAGAAGAGGGGCCCTGCTTTTGGGCGGTAGTGTTTGGAGAAGTCAGGGAGCCATCTCTTTGGACTCAATCATGTCGAAAAACAATGATTTATTGCTTTACTGTTTTTCAAGTATTTGACCCCATAGTCCACCAAGAGAGACAGCCATTTTCCTTGTCAAGTGTTTTTTTTAGCTGAAAATAAGCTGACATGTAGAGGTTGGTCAGACAGCTTGGCCACACACAGTGTTACAGGTCCCAGGAATCATGTGGGACCTTTTATCTATGAGCCAGTTTTGCTCTTCTGTATGGAAGTCGTCTCCCTCTTAATTATATTCACATAGCTTGCTTTAAGAAAAAAAAAAAAAAAAAAAAAAGAGCCATTTACAACTGAGAGTTTCAGGATTGTTCTTAGCTATTATTTATTTTTTGGCTAAGGCCTAGCTTGTCATTGCCTTTTTTTAAAATTCTGTCTTTGAAATGTAATGTGGAGGTATACCCATCTCATTTTCTAATCACCTTTTGGTATTTAGGGGCTTAAAATGACAGTTTTTGAAATGTGAGAGTGATGATGTGCTGTGCATTTAATAACAAACATCTCTTATCCTTGCAGCCTTGACCCACACTCTACTGTGGAATGTTTCTGAATACAAATGAGTTGGGGATTCACTGTGATATGAAAAGAAAGAGCCCTGGAGTGGGAATGCGGCCCGTTCAGCCCCCGCGCTGGCTGGGCGACCTTGGGCTGGTCACTTTATCTCTCTGGGCCTCCTCTGCAAAGTGAGGCATTAGGTCGGATCGTCCCTGAGCCTTGTCCAGCTCTAACAACCTTCCTCCTGTATATTTGAGATCACTTTTAGAGTGGATTTCGGATATAGGCTATGTTTAGCCAGAGGGTGGGGAAAAAATGAACATTAGGTTGCAAAGCTGAATTTTGGCCTTGTTTACTTTTTGGAATTTTTTTTAAGCACATTCCCTTGAGTGTATTGGACCCTTGTAAAGAAAACCAGCCTCCCCGACTTGCCATGTTAAATTGACAAAGCTGTTCTGCCCATCAACTTTTTAGCTTCATTTCCTTTCACTTTTATTGGCTCATAACATAACGAGATTGGAACTATGAGAACACTAGTTTATAAAATGCCTAGTAGATAGTATCTGAGGATTAAAGTTGCTTTTCTGCTATGTTTCAGGTGGTAATGGAATGAAGGGTTGCCTGTCCTGTAGGTAATTGTTACAGGCCTTTATATTTTTAAATGGAAATATATTATAAATCTGTTTAGTTTGTACTGAAAGATTTGGATTGAATTTAAGTTCTCTTCTAATCAGCTGGCTGGGTTGCTTACTGTCTCCTTTGTCTTCTTGTCTTATTTAGCTATATCGAGAAGTTTACTGACTTTCTGCGGCTCTTTGTGAGTGTTCACTTGAGAAGAATTGAGTCCTACTCCCAGTTCCCAGTCGTGGAGTTTTTGACACTTTTGTTCAAGTACACATTTCATCAGGTAAAGCACCTACCTCGGTGCCCCAAGGTCCCATCCCCCGACCGTCGTTTGGTAATTTTCGAGTGGACAGCCCTCTAATTTATTTCTCAAGCATTTGTGTAATGCTTCCTATGTGAAGATCACACATTTAGTCATCAAACAACTCTATTAGGACAGATATTGTTATTATCCCTCTTATACATATAAAGAAACTGAGGACCAAGAGTAAACTGCTGGGGGTCAAACAGTAAGTGATAAAACCACGATTTGAACCCACAGAACCTGTGTTCTTAGCCACTAATATGTTGGAGAAGCAAAATACAGAAAATGCCTGCAATTAGAGCTTTCAGTTCTGATCTGTAACTGTGACTAAAAGATCCCACAGGGAGACTGTAGTAGAGGGTTGAGTTTGGTGGGCTCCAGTTTATCCCCCTATTTAGGAAATGTTTTTGCAACTCCCTGGATTTTATATAACCTGCACAAGCACAGCCCTTTTATTTTATTGAATTCATATCCTAGTGATCCAGGGTTTAAAAAATTTTTTTATATATATATCTGTTATAAGTTTACTGAAGTAAAATTTGCACAGTATGAAGTTCACCCATTTGATGTTAATGGTGTTATGTATGAAGTTATGTTGTATAACCTCATAACACCATTGTATAATGAAGTTATGTTTAACAGACTTGCACAGCCATCACCACAGTCCAGCTTTAAATATTATTGTCACACCCTGCTCCTTGTGCCCATTTGTATATGTTTTAAAATTTTTTTATTACGTTATCTCATACATACAGCAGGTACATAGATACATGCCTTGATAGAGAAAGACATAGAAAATTTCTTTAAAGAAATAGTGCTGAGAAGCATATCTACCAGGGAAATGAACCAGACAACTTAACTCAGGCTTCTCAAGAGTTACAACCAAAACAATAATAGATACAGTCTCAGACACATTATAATAAAAGTGTTGAAAGCCAGTGACAAGGATGGAGCACTAACGAGAAGAATAAGTTGTGAGGGAACAAACAATGGCCTGTCGGGATGCTCAGGAGAGACCTCACAGGCAAGAAGGGACTGGTGGGAGCTGTTGAGTGCTCACAGAGACTTCCCAGCTGGAACCTTCAAGAAGGAAGGGAAGGGAGCTTCACTCAAAAGCAAAAACAAACAGGTGCAAAAGGGGTTATTATAGAGCAACAGCAGCCGACAGGGGACAGACACCTCAGTTCAACAGCGTGGGGGGGGAGGGCAGGGTGAGCAGACTGCCCGAGGCCACATGGACCATCGCAGACCAACTTCAGCAGCATCTTCAACCAAAGATAGCAAAAGTATCATGTAAGAGAGACCGTGGGAAAACCCAGGCAAAATAGTAAAGGAAGACATTGGAAAAATAAAAAGGGAAACTACCAAAGAAAACAAAACCCCAGAGAACCCAGCGGTAAGAGTGAACCATTTCTGGGAGGAAGGAAAGGCCAGAGCTGTAGGAGGCGATCAGAGGTGAGAAGGCTTCAAGGTGTCCAGCAGGGACAGTGAGTGCGGAGTGCCGGGAGACAGGCCGAGCTCTCCAGGCCAAGGGAGAGGGGGAAGTGTGAGGAGGTATGGGGTTGAGGCTGGAGAGAGAAGTGTCAGAGGCGAGGAGGTTATGGTTGCATCTAAAGTTGAGGCAGGTGAAAAGGATATGAGCGATACCTTTGGATAAGTGTAGCAGAAATGAGAGCGAAACAAGGAGCTGGTGCTAAGCTGAGGAAGAAGGGTCTATTGGAAGTGGAATAAAAGCATCTTCAAGTTCTGCTCCCTTTTTGAAATGGGATCCTTTAGCATGTGACATACAAGAAAGCTAAAAAATAGCCTTAAAGTATACAAGTAACTTAGGCTTCCTTCTTTGGACTTGGTCCCAAATGTTCCATGTGTGAGCTTTGGTTATTTCCAGTAGGTGTGTGTCCTTGAGCAAGTTTTTAAATTTCCTTAGTCTAAGCATCTTGTGGGCCTTTCCCACTGTTCACCTTCTGTTATTCTTTCAGTAGACTCCTACATTTTATTTTCCACAGAACTGAATATGGTGATTTTATGTATTTATAAATTATGCTTATATACTGGGGAAAGAAAAAAATGTGGTCCTGCAGTAAATGGTTGGGCTCTTCCTCTCTTTACCTGCAGGTCTGGTCAGCTGAGCGCCCTTTGGCTCCCTTGGCCTCCTCTGTGAACCCTCCCTTTCTGAGGGCCCAGCAGGCACAGGGCTGAGTACGGAGCAGAAGGCAAGAGCCTGGACCATGCTCCTCACAGTGCAGTGCTCCATGGAGGGAGGCAGCCCCTAGCTGGAGAGGCTTGAGGAGAAACGATGGCAGCAGTGGTGGCGGGGGGCCTTTGGGCTGGCTTCAGAGTGAGAAAGGGAGCACTCTTGGCGCGCTCTGGGTGCTCGTCTGTTCCTGAACAGTGTGATCTTCATCATAGTTAGATTCTCTGTAAAGTAGAAACTTGTGTCTTTGCTCAGGCCCAGAGGAATGTTAGGAGTATTTTCTCAGTATTTTTGCCTTTCACTTCTGAAATTCACAGAAATTTTACTACCAGTGAACATTTGAAAGAACAGTAGTAAGGCAAAGATGGTGTTATTATCTTTCACCATTTCCCTCTTCTGTTTCTTTACCTACATTTTTCTTTCGCCTGCGTGTCCCAGCTGATGTCCCTCGAACCACTAATGCTCTGTGAGGGTTTGGTGTTTGTCTGAGGGTTCTGAGAAGTTGAATGACTCCCAAGGTGCAGCTGGCCTGTTGCTGTCGTGACCTTAGCTATCTGTACCCACTGTGACTTGAGGCCTGAGGCCTGCTCGTGGGCAGTGCATGGGGCCGCATGGTGTGACTGCCGGTGTGGATGAGAATGTGGTGCTTGGGTCCTGCAGAGGCTGTGCGTGCTCCTTCCCCCAGCTTTGTGCTGCAGAGTCCTCCAGTCGAGGGCCCGGGGAGTACGTGTGATTGACACCACTGTGTATGTGGTACGCTTTTATAGAGCATCTGGTCAGTTTTGTTCTTTGGGGCAGCTGGTGGGTCTTTTCAAATGGAGGAAGGATGACGAAGTGACGACCGAAGTCAGGACGGGACTGCACCTTCTGGCCAGCAAGTGGAGGCCTGTCTCCCTGCTTCCGGTATTATTTCCACACAGCTTATTTTTTTCCCCCCTGCTGTTCTCTGGTTCATTTCATGTCATGGACATCCTGAGTTTTGTGAAGCCTCAAGAGGTAACAGGAAGTGGTCATTCTGTTTTCTGAGGAGGCTTCGGCAGTGGTCCTGACTGAGCTGTAGAAGCTCTAGGGCTTCCCTTTGGGTTTTGAGGTTGAAATCTGCTCCATTTTTAAAGTTGCAGCTTTTCTGTTTGAGGCTTGGGCTGGGTCCAGAACTCCCACTGCTTGTTACACACATGTTAATTATTCCTTGGACAGATTCCACTTACACCTTTGTAAACTTGAATTTCTCTGTGGGACAGAAAAGGAAGGAAGGTGATCTAGGAAGAAGATATTACTGGTGTAGCTATGCTCATGCCACCCACCCAGTGTATTGTTCAATGAAGCAGTCATTAGCATAACCAGAGAGTTTTTATAGTAGCAGGAATTTGAGTAGCTATTTTGGGGGTGGGGGGGGTCTCTGGTTGAAACTGAATACATATTAGAAGGACTGGATGTTGGGGAGCACAGAGCTTACATTTTGCTTGAAAGGAAAATCTCAAGACTCTTGGGAAAGTCAGAGACTTGCTCTTTTTGTCTCTTCTTGTCTTTAACAACAGTTGGTTAGAGGTTGCTCTTAGCCTTTTTGACACCCCTACTTTTGCAGATGAGATAATTCCCAAGAGTTAGATTTAACAGTCTCCTTTTAATCTTAGATAAAAGCTACAGTGTCACTTTCTTAATGTTCAAGTGTGTAAAACTCATCTCCTTTGGTTTCTCGGGAATTTACTTGAGGTTCTGTCATGGCATGTATTGGAAAGAGTGTCGGCCCGGGGAAAGGAGCCTACCCCTCCTCCTCGTCTTGGCCCATTTCATATTTCTAGATCTATTTCTTTCTCTGTAGGACAGATTTGAGTTCAGTGATCTGTGAGTCTTCCCCATCACGTTTAAAATAGCTGTTTGCTGGCCTGATCTTGTAACTCAGTATATTCTGCCTCTGTCTCCTTATGAGGTGCTCCCTGGTACCCCTTATTTTGTTACGCTCAACAGGCCCGGTTTGAAGACCCAATGAAAAGATACTAATTGTGGGAGCAGGAAGGTGGGGAACCCAGGCAGATGGTTTTACCATTCTAGGGGACCTCAGCTGGTGAGTGTGCTTCTGAGGAGGAGAGGCACCAAGTAATGTCTTGTCTGGATCTCTTTTGCACCATAGCCTACTCATGAAGGTTACTTCTCTTGTTTGGATATCTGGACACTCTTTTTGGACTATCTGACAAGTAAAATTAAAAGTCGTCTTGGAGACAAGGAAGCAGTTCTCAACAGGTAAGTTCCACAAACAGTGGTAACTAAAAGTAGAGTTTTGCCAGTTTTGTGATCAAAAGTTCACAAGAAATTTTCAGTGAAAGCCAGAAACTTCCAGTGAAAGTCAGTCATGTTAAGCCATTTAGGAAGTTAATGCCAGTGAACATTTTCTTCTCCTTTTCCCTCATAGATCTTGATTTCAAGACTTTTTCAGATTATAGAAGTAATATATATCATTGATTTATATCATTGATTTTTTAAGTGTGTAATATGTGTGTGTGTTTTACGGAAATTTAGACTGAAGTGCATATTGAATGAAATAATACATTTGGTGTTTGTTTTAAAATAATTTATTGGGATGGGAAGGTGGGTTGGCTTATAGAAAAAACAGAATGGCCAGGTGCTTATATGGAGCTGAACTTAGTTGATAGAAACTTGGGATTCATTGTATATTTTTATATTGTTCAGAAATTCACAAGTAGTAAATGTTAGAAAAAGGAAGTATTTTAAAAACTAGGAGAAGATAGTGAATAACCACACTATTCAAAGATAATTATTTTTTGTAAACCAACATTACCTCATTAAAAAACACAGCACTGTTTGTTGTGGAAGGCACGGACTCATAGCCCTTGGGATGTCCTGTTTACACATCAGAACCATCACGACAACACCGTTCTTCCTCCCTCCTTCCCTCCCTTCACAGTAGCCTGGATTCTGCATTTAGAGTTGTAGGGCTTATTTTGGTTTTATTTTTGTCTGTTTCATTATTGTATTTATGGCATAAATCCCCTCTGGCCCCTATATATTTGTCAAGTCTGTTTACCCTGCTTACAAACAGAAGGTGTATGCTTCCTGAGTACTGTGGTCTTTTCTGAAGTGAAATGAGCTAATTATCTCGACTGCTTGGCACATTACAGATGCTCAGTAAGAGACGTCATAGCTGGTGGTAAAGACACTGCGTACCTCCCCACCCCTCCCCCCAGGGTGGCCCCCAAGGAATGTGCCATATGGAGCTGGAGAGGAGAAGGCCTTCCTGGGAAGGGTTGGATTGCACCGCTAAAACCCTTCAGAGCTGAGGTTTATGTTTTTTTTTAAATACTAAACAGAATATTTAGTACTTTTGTTCCCAAACATTCTTTCTGTGATTGCAAAATAGCTTCCAGGTTGCTCTGGTGTTAGGTCAGATGTGGTTATGGGTAGTTTATTCATCTGTCAGAAACCTTATGACGCAACAGTAGATCTTGGTTTTGGTGGATTTTACCAATTTTCAGTAGTTGTATTTTTGAATGAGATTCTTCAAAGAAAAGGCACATCATCAGATTACTGTGTCTGTCCAGCAGTCACGTCCTTTGGTTTTGCAACGGTGCCAGTTTGCTATATTTAGTGGTAGAAATTCTTCATATCTTTCAGGCTTGTTAGGAGAATTAACTGGAGAAATTATTTCTGTGAAAATGCTTTTTAAAGCATATTATAAATATGGTTTAGCTGTGGAGAAAATGGTTTCAGTGAACAAATATATAGCAGATTATTAATATTAAGTAAACACGCAGATTATTGTAACACTAGAAGGAGCAATGGTGTGGAAAGTTTAAATTCCTTTTCTGCATGTGTTACTTCAGTCAAGTTTTGTGCTGATCATATTTCCTCTTGCAAAGTGAAAATATTAGTTGCTCTTTTGCAGCATCTGACGTGTCCTCAGTACACCATGAGTGGGCACAGTGATGACACCCCAGTGTTGATCTGCCTCCCCAGGTGTCTGTCACCTGGCATCACGGCTGTCAGTGGTTCTGGTTAACCACATTACACACTGTGGATGTTTATCATTTGATTATCTTTTCTAAATGATTAATTTTTCCATGGTTAATTAATCATTGGTTAATTTTTTTAACCTGCATTTTTCATGGTTTAAAAAAAAATTAATGCTTTTATGCTTTAAAAACAAAAACTTGGAACTTCCAAAGCTGTTGGGTGGCTTATGCCATTTAGTAGTAACCACTATTCTGGGGAACTGCTTGTGGATCAGATACCCCCTAGTGGTTTAGGACCGTAGATGTCAAAGAAGGGTGTTAAAGTAGCCAGCCCACTAGGGTGCATGAAGATAATAGTTGAATTTACTTATGTTTCTTTTCACCTCTTATACATTTATACATGTGTGCTCAAAAGTTTTTATTTTTTTAAACTTATTTATTTATTTATGCATACAGAACTGGGGTACAGCCCAGAGGTGCAGCGGTGGTAAGATGATTCACTAGAGACAGAGTGGGGAGCAGAACAGGCAGGCTGATGGAGCACACTGCTGAGGGGAGCAGCCGGCGAGACAGGAGAGGTCTGCTGCGCCGTGTGGGTCACCTCCGGGACTGGAGATCAAACTCACACTGAAATGGCTGTGGCCAGCTTGCTGTGCTGCGTTCTAACCTGTTGCACCACCAGGGAGGAACCCGAAAAGTTTTTAAATGCAAGTTTGGTGAACACCGCTCTGGGTTATGAGAGACCCAGTGCAGAGGTGTTTTGCAGACACTGCTGATAGAGAACACTGCCCGCTGATCATCACCACAATTATTTTAACTAGAACATGTAAGTGACTAGATGTTTTTCAGTTGGCAGTGTGTATGTGGAAGAAGCTGGGTACTTTTGGAATCACACTTGTTGTTCAGGGCAGAATTTGAGAAACAACTTGTAGGAAGTAGTCAAGAATGTTTTCTTGGTGTCTTAAATGGGAAACGTAGGTGTGGTTAAGTCACAGAGACAGCACTCAGTTCCTGTCCCTTGTGGTTAAAAGGTTTTGCATCATTCATCGCAACAAAGTGGTAGGCATTGTAGTCTACAAATTTAGCAGAGCTAATGTACATGGATTTATTTTTGATCCTCAAAGTTTGGAAATTGGAGCTCAGCAAGTTCCCTGCAACAATGAGATTGTTCAAGAGTTTCTTGATCAGAATTGGTGAGAACTTTAGAAAACTTGAATCCCAGTGTTAGTGGAGTAAGTCTTCTGTAACATAACTAGCTGAACAAAATTGCAGGTGGGGTCCAGATATGCCACTGTGGAGAAACCTGAGTTTCAGCCTCCTTTTCTTCATTTATACTTTGGGGATGGCTGTTCCTACTTCCTAAGTTGTTAAGAAAATTAAATAAACCCGTGTGTGTATAGTACCAGCCTGACAGCAGGTGCTTAATCATAAGCATCTTATATCTCTTTCCTCTTTGTGCTTGCCAATGTGAAGGAAGACACTGTGTAAACTCTTACTTTTGTGGGAAGATGGGGGATGCCTGTATTGAGTTAAGCAACCTAAAATCATTGAGTCATGTCCTGTGAACCGCTTTGTTGCAAGAATGCTGGCAAGTGCTGATGACACACCAGCATGGGGATTCCGGGTGACATGAAATTGGACTGTAAGTAACTGTGGGCAATTGTAGGAATATTGTTGCCATGCCTCCCCTCCCCCCTTCAACTGAGTGGATTACTCTGCTTAGTAAAGGGAAGTGCCATTGTGACACAAGACATTTTGAAATAGTTGATAAAAGATATTAATTAGATTTATATAAGGGCTCCCAAAGCTTTCTAGCTCCTGCTAAGAGAAATGCATGCAGTTAACTGTCTCAGAGAGCAAATAAATAGGGTCTTAGTTATTTCTTTGAGTTGAAAAGCTACCCAGGACTATGCTTCAGTCCTCTGTAATTATCAGACGTGGGGTTTTGTCTGTCATGTTCGTGTTTTATTCATTTTCTTGTTGCCCTTTCATACATGATATAGTTCGTGGGCACTGACTGGTAGATGGTGTACATAATGTAATTTCATGTAACTTGTAGAACTTGTGAGGGCTATAGGTTTACCATTGTGGTTCAGGCAGTGCAAATGAGAAAGGGGAGAAGCTGGACAAAAAATAGGTTTTAGTCTGTAGTCCTCATCTGTTGTTAGCTCAGTATTCCCATTTTACTTTTCTAGTAAATGATGTTAAGTTTGTCTCTAAGCACTGCTTTAGTTTTTACTATGTTTTCCTTTTCGTTCAGCTTAAAATCTTTTCTATTTTTTTTTCTTGAGATTTCCTGTGTTGTTTAATTGATGAACATTTAGATATTTTACATTTCTCTTGCTTCGATTTTAGTCTGTTTTGATATGCAAACATAGTTTGTGTGATTTCAATTTTTTCCAGTTAAGGTTTGTTATATGATCTCTTAGTAAATGTTCACTGTACACTTGACATGTTGGTTAGATGAGGCTGGTTGATAGAACTAGCAGAGAAAAGACAACATACATAATACCTGTCAATTACTGAGAGGTAAACTGTCATGGCAGGCTTGTTGATTTCCTTCAGTTCTGTCAGTTTCTGCTTCACTTAGCCCTTTTTAATGTATCTAGGGAGCATTTATATCTATGTGAACCTCAGTGGTTACTCTGGGTATAAACATTTTTATACTTTTCACATTTTAACACCTTACATAGAATATAGAAATCTTACTACCATTATAGGTAATTTTAACTTCCTTTCTTTGTATTGAGGTTGCCATGTTTTACATCTATGTTTACTGAAAGCCCCATCAGATAAAGTTCTGTTTTTACTTTCATCCATCATTTGTATCTTAAATATCTTCATAGGAGAAGAAAGTGCATTATACTTACCCACACACTGGCCATTTATCTTGGTTTTCCATTATTCTTGGAATTCCAGGTTATTTCTCTTATGATTTACCTTCTGTCTGGATGAGCTCAGGCTGCCCTAACAAAAGACTAGTTTTGGAGACTAGCAGTCACGGGTCAGGGTGCTGACATTTTAGTTTCCAGCAAGGAGGCTCTGTGGCTTGTAGACAAATGATGCTTTTTCTCTGTGTCTTCCTCATGGAGCCTTTCCCTGTGTATGTGTGGAGAGGGCTGAGGGGAGCTGGCATGCACACACCTGCCATGGCCACATGTACTATGCACGCTGGTATTCCTTCTTTTCTACAAGTCCTGTGAATTAAGACCTCATTCTTGTGACCTCATTTAACCTTTATAACCTTTTAATAGTCTTAGAAAAGTAAAATGGGAATATTGAGATAGCAACAGTTGAGGACTACAAGAAGCAGCTCCCTCCCTAAGGCCAGTGGTGGCAAAGGAAAGAGGCAAAATCTAGGTTAGTGGGATAGGCCTCCTGTCCGAATACTGTCACCCTGGGGCTTAGAGCTTCAAGATGGGTCACAGTTTGGTATGTAACACTTTTTATCTGAAGAACTTCATGGAGGATGGTTATAATACCTGCTTTAAAAGTTCCAGCATCTGACTTCTTAAGGTAGGCATCTGTCGATGGGCATTCTTTTGAGAAATGGTCAGTAGCTCCTCATTTTTGTATGTTAGTTGGTGTTTTTTGGATTCGGTTGGCTGTTTAGGTATGGCTTTCACCTTCACCCATCTTATGGTCAGAGATGTATGTTGGATCTGTAAATATCACATCCATTCAAGCAGCGCAAATGAGAAAGGAGAGAAGTTGGACAAAAGAAGGTTTCTCAGAAACCCTACCCAGTGACTTCTTTCAATATGCCTTTGAGGGACAACCCCCGCCCCCCACAAGGGAGGCTGGGAAATGTAGTCTTCATTAGCCTCTTGCCCAGTGTTCTTTCACTAGGAAGAAGGGAAGAATGGATACTGGGGTGGCCCCCAGAGTCTGCCTGTCCATATATTATTCTCCCCAGTTCTCACCAAACACTTTGGAGGTCCATTATCTAAGTGTGCTTTAGCTTGGTTGGGTTTAATAGTCTAGTGGTAGGGTTTTTTTTTTTTTTTTTTTTTTTTTATTGTTTGTTTTAATAGCCATAGTTTTCAAATACCAGTAAAGGATTTTATTTACTTAAAGCTCTTAAAATTTCTTTAATTTATTTATGGGGCGTAGGCCAAAGATGTGAGGGGTGAGAGAATTCACTCGAGACAGAATAGGGAGCAGAACAGGCAGATCTACTGAAGTGCACTGCTGAGGGGACAGTGGGTGGGTCAGGAGAGGTCTGCCGCACCCTGTGGGTCAGCTCCCTGGCCGGGGATCAAGCCCAGGCTACAGTGGCTGGTGATAGCTTGAAAGCGCTGAGGGAGGCCTCTGCTAGTAAGGATTTTAGGTCTAATTTAGGATTATTCTTTGCATACTAAGTCTTAAACTCCTTTTTTTTTTTAATTTTTTTTAAAGATTTGTTTATTTGTGCATACAGAACTGGGGTACAGGCCAGAGGCTCAGGAGCGGTGAGAGGCTTCACCAGAGACAGAGTGGGGAACAGAATAGGCAGATCGATGAAGTACACTGCTGAGGGGAGCAGCGGGCGGGTCAGGAGAGGTCTGCCACGCCATGTGGTCACTTCCGGGGCAGGTGGGAATCAAACTCATGCGGAAGCGGCTTTAGATTCTCAGTGCTACGCTTTAACCCGCTGCACCACCAGGGAGGGCCAAACTCCTTTTTATCAATAGCTCAACAAGACTTTTTAATAGATGAAAGGGATCCCCTCTGCCCTCCCACCCCCCCAACGAAATCGTGAAAACGTTGGCTCATCATAGCAATTTACAGCATGAAATTTCTATAATGTTAGGAAGTTATGTTCTGAGTCAGTGGCAAATAGAAAATCCAGGCTAAAGTGTTTGATCACACCTGTTTGAAGTTTACTGATGTGGGGTTTTGACTCTGTTGGTAATATTTACCACAGATGTTGTATATTAATGAGCTCTACCTGCCACCAATCTTTTCTGGTCATGCGTAATCCAGTCTAGTTGAGGTTAAGTCATCTGCCAACACTGAAGGACTCACCGTTGTGGGCAGGGGTAGACAGTGCCTTTGACTTAATCAAGAAATGAGCTGCTGTGCTCACCATACTCTGAAATGTGATGATTCGGGAGGATTTTTTAAGTTGTTCTTACACTGTCTCTGCAGAGTCTCATCATGTAGGTTGTAATTCTCAGACCGGGTGGTCTTGGCATCGGGCACCTCTTAGTTTTGGTTATCTTGTTCTGGTTTTCACCTGTATCAGATTCAGTGACTTACTGAGAGTCTTGTCAGGAAAACATTCCACTCATAATTATTTTAGGACTTCAGTGTAGGAAATTGATAAGGCAGATTTTGAGGATGCGAAAAGTAGATGGGAATAAGAACAGATGAGGGCTACAGGGAGCAACTCCATTCCGGGGGCGAATGGTGCAAAGGAAAGAGGTAAAATCTAGAAGATGAGAGGGATGGGCCCCCTGTGTGATGGTCTCACCCCTGAAGGTAGGCTGCCCAGGGGCTCAGAGGAGAGGGCGCATGGAGCTGGGAGTCATTCCTTCGAGGAGAGCAGTCACTGGCTGCTTCCGGCTCCTGCAGTGTGCACGGCGAGACCAGCACTGGGTGTGTGGAGCGAGCTGGAGCCAGAAGCAGTGATTACTACCACGTGCCCTTTGTGGGGCAGCACTGCGGGGACAGCAAGCCCTGCGGAGGGTAGACTCCCCCTGCCTTCTGGTCTTCCCCCAGAGTCCCTGTTGATGGAGCCCAGCAGCCGGAGGAGAAACGTGCTTTGTGTGGTCGGGGCCCCGGCACCCCAGAGGAGTGAGGAGGTTGGCAGTGGGAGCTGAATAACCAGCATAATGGCGCACTTTATGAGTGGGAGCAGTCCCTGGTGTATCTTACAGATGTCTCAGGACAGGCACACATCTAGGCCAGACATGGTAGCAGCCATCACATGTACTCGCTGTCTTTTGCGTTAGGTTCTTACATACATGGGGAATAGCCAGACACCTGGGGCTGCAGGTGTTTCTTTGTGGGATTATTAGGTGGAGCAAGGTGTTAGGGTTCCCAGGCTGTTTTCATTTCCTCTTTTAAGTTTGAAGTCTTGTTGACTAAAATTTAGGTTTTGGGGTGGGGGTGGAGAAGACTCAGAGTCCATTGGTACCTTATTTGTAGGGAGAAGAACATGGAGTGGCATTGAGTTAGGGAGCCCTGGGTTCAGTCAGCTAGCTTAGGGGGCACTGGCAGGTTATAGTTTCCTCATTAGAAACACCAGCACCACTTCCTGTCACAGTTGTTAACAGGATGGAATCGTTGAGTTATTTATGTATAGTAGCTGTAATACCCGCTGAGAAAATAGCTAAATATATAGTAAAAAATAATGACAGGAGAATTAAAGTGGCCCTCTAGAAAATATCTTTCTAACAGAAAAGAGTACAAAAAGGGAGAATTTGAGGAACAGATGAGATGCCATACAGACTACAAGTAGCAAAGTGGTAGAAGTCCTTCTTTGCTTATAATTGATACGATTATATTAAATGTAAATTATTAAATTATCCCGTTAAAAAGCAGGGGTTGCCAGAATGAACTAGAAAATAAACGTGATCCAATTATATGTTGTCTGAAAAAGACTGACTTTAGTGCCAAAGACACAAATAGATTGAAAGTGAAAGGATAAAAAGTGATCTTTGTAAGCGGCATCGAGATGGGATCCATGGTAGTGGCTATCCTAGTGTCACACAAAGTAGACCTAGGTCAGGAATTGTTAACAGATGCAGGAGGATCACGGCTGATCAATGATAAAAGGACCACTCTGTCTAGACCATGTCAAATAACTATGCCTGCTACATTCTGCTACATAGGCCCGTCAGCCCAGAAACTCAGTGTAGTTTAGATGATTCTTGTCGGTGATAATCCATTGTGACCACTATTATCCCTTCATAGTACAGGAGCTCTTCAAAACCCTAGGCTAAAAGCCTGCTTTCACCTGACATTGAATTTCTCCCTGTCACATAGGTACGAAGACGCCCTAGTTCTCTTGCTCACGGAGGTGTTGAACCGAATCCAGTTCAGATACAACCAGGCCCAGTTGGAGGAATTGGATGACGAGACTCTGGATGATGATGTAAGCTGCACACTGTAAACACCTTAAATCGTTGTCCTATTTTGGTCTGAATCAAAATGTTGCTTTCAGGCCTACAACTTATAAGCCACCTGCCCTGGAGACCACTGTCAAGCCAGAGTAGTTTGAAGGTTTGAGTCATGCATTTGAAATTTATCTCCTGCTGGTCTCTTTGGGTTCATTAATTGTTGAAAAGTCATTGTTAAGAACAAAAACCCCAAAGCTTTACAGGCATCTTACCCTACAGATGAGAGTCGTTAAGTAGAGATATGTGCAGAGTGCACAGTGACTTAACGAGAACTCTCCTCCTATTTTCCTTGCCTTGCACCTGCCCTGCTGCTCCCGACTCTGGGAAGCAAATAGAACCTCGCCAGGTGCCGGTGGAAGAGTTACAGGGACACTTACGTGTATTTTTTCAACTGATGTCTTTTAACATGTCTGGAGTTTACTGAGGCTTCTGTGCCCAATATTGTTAAGGAAAGTGTCTCTAAGGTCACAACTTCAGTCTTTATCTGAAACACCGCGGACTTTAGAGTTTTCAAGTCATTGTTAGGGCTGTCAGACTTGGGGGTAGCGATGTTTGGGTTAGAAAGAGCCTGTACTTGGAATCAGATAGCCTGGATTTAAATCTTTGCAGGTGTGGCCATGAAGGAGGTAGAGATTTGGGCATTGAATTTCTCTGAGCTTAAATTTCCTTATCTCCCCAAAGGGCAGTGATTAGTTCTGACCCCTACGGACAGTTATATGTGGAAGAACTGACTGGCCGTGTGCCTGGTTCACAGTAGCCCCTTAGCAGACTTGAGCTGCACTGGCTTCCAGTAGGCTGTAGGACAGCGCTTCTCAGGGCAGTGTGGGCAGAGCTGGTGGGCAGAGCTGCGCAGACAGCTGTTAAACAGGTTTTGACTCCTGACCTTTGGGGTGGGGCCACAGAATTTGCGTTTCTTACCAGCTCCCGCCAGAGGGTGCTGCTGCTGCCTGCGGACCAGCGTTTGAGCGGCACTGATGTAGGAAGTTGTCCTTGTCGGAGCCCAGTGATGGGCTGCTCCGGGAGGCGATGGGGACCAATTCCTGCCACTGGGATGCTGTAAAAGGCCTGGAGCATCTCACAAGTGACATTTTAAGTGTGTTCTCCTGTGAGCCATTGGGAAAAATGTCGATCATTCTATGTGGATCATTTCATACCTGAGGAAACTCTTATACAATGAGCTCACTGATTAAAAAAACTTTTGAAATACCAAATAACCTGGTTCTGTCGTTTTCAGTTTCTTCAAAATTGCGGCAGAGGGTGAATTGGCAGGGAGGCAGGGCTCTGCTCCAACAGAGCTGACCCTTCTGTGCTTCCCCACAGCAGCAGACAGAGTGGCAGCGGTACTTGCGCCAGAGCTTGGAGGTGGTGGCCAAAGTGATGGAGCTTCTTCCCACCCACGCCTTCTCAGCACTGGTAACTTCCCACTCGGAGGCTCAAGCCTCACTGTGTCCCTTTCGCGTGTAGCTTGAGCAGTAAGGCTCTGTCGCTCGCCAGCGCTACAAAGTTTGTGTATTTTAAACAGAGCATGGTTGCTGTAACACCCTCAGATTTAACAGATGCTGACGTTTCCCCCAACTTTTAAACCAGCTTTTGGAAGCCCCATTCTTTCTTTAACTTTCAGAAGTAATACGACATTTACTAATGCCTTCAAGCCTTATTCAGTAGCTTGAAAATTATGTTTAAAAGAGCTAACCTTTGTGAAGCTCACCAGCAGATTGCGAGCACGCTTGGCCTTAGTTATCAGGCCTTCCTTGATTCACTAAGTGTGCAGGGTGCTTGGTACATGAGGAGATCTCATTGAGCCCGTCTCTTTTTCAAAGGCAAGATAATTTATTGGGGTCCACTTTTGCATTACCCAAACCAGCTGTGTCTTGTGTTTTATGGAAAGTGCCATTTTATTTTGCTGTCTGCTTTGCTTAGTGATCCATCATGTGAAAGTCTTTATCTTTACAGTGAGTTAATAGTAGCTTTAGAGAGAAAAGGTACAACTCTGGGGAGAGGTCTGTCTGCTCAGTGTGTTACTGGCCCTGCTTTTCCCTCTCCCCAACCTTCAGAGGGCACAGCTGATAGTTCTCAAGGTGGATTTGAAGGGAGATAGGCCTTGCCTCAGAGTTCTGGAAGGTGTGGGTCATCGTGGGGCTTGGCCTCTTTTAGGAACCTAACTTGTCACCCCAGCACCCACTACTCTGTTTGAAAACAAAAAGCAGCACATTGACAAGCTGTTTTCTTTCTTTTTAAAAATGCAATTTGTAGACATCATTGGGAGCATGGAGGTGGGGGCCACTGCAGGGGCATCCCTTCCTAGAGGCTGTAGGGCCCACGGGGAAGTTTTCTTTCAATTCCACCCCTTCCTGTCCATAGGTATTTCTAATGTTTTAGAATTAAAATGTTATCAAATCCACATTTTTTTTTTCTTTAATCTTTGTTTCTTTGTTTTCAGTTCCCAGTTCTTCAGGACAATTTAGAAGTTTATCTGGGGTTACAGCAGTTTATAGTTACTTCAGGGTCAGGTAAACTGGTTTTTATTTTCTAATTTAACCAATATTAAGAAAAAGTGGACTGTATTTAATTACTGCCTTCTTTGCTGTCAGAACATGATTTCTCCACTGCCACCTCCTTGCTGCTCCATCTCTCTCCACTTTTGACCAGGGAAGGTTCTAAATAACAAAAACCTCAGGAAAAGGAGCAGTGGGGACGTGCAGGGCGGGGCTGTGCCGGTGCATTTGGAGAGTGGCGTCAGTGAGCAAGGAGAAGCTAAGCCAGTGGGGCAGCCTGTCCCCAAGCAGCAGACGTTAGAGAAGAAGGTGGCCTGGGCCTTGCTGTGCTGAGGTCTCCTCTGCTTTGTGTAGGCAGGAGGGTGGGGCTCCCCAGAGCTGGGGCGTGGCTGGAGAGGCTGCTCACTAGTATTGGCCCCTCTTGCTGCCCACGGCCAGAGGCGGGCTCTGACTTAGAGCACTCTGGAAAGGCTGGGGGGCTGTGCCTGCTCGGGGTTTCAGGTCGGCATTTTCTGTTGCTTTTAGTTTTTAGTGATAATAGCCTCCACTTTAGAAAACGCATTATAAGCCAGGCACTGTATTACTTTACTTAATTTAACTGTCTTCTGATGCTTGAGTAGTGATACTAATAGGTTGTCCCAGTTTTATAGAAGAAGGAATTGATGTTCAGAGATGTTAATTTACCTAGGGTTACACAGTGCAAGTCCCAAAGATAGTATAATGGGAATGCTAAAAAAAAAAAAAAAAGCTGGGTTAACTTAAAGCTGAAATTGATTTGCCAGCTGAAAGCACTAGAAATTGAATATTATTCTTGCAGATGTAACTGTGCCTTGTGCGTGTTGCCCCGGCCCCTGAGTCTCGAGGTGGTCATTTCTTCTGCGGTGTTCTTGCGAGAGCTCGGCCTGGGCCTGGCCCCCAGCCGCCCGGGTGAGACTGTCTCCCGGCCCAGCTTGGCATTCACGGCAGCGCCTCCTGGGGGGCGTGCTTCCGAGACTGCCCTTCTTGGTGGTGACGCTTGTTTCCGTGACTGAACTGGCTTCTCGGTCGTCCACTGGGCCCCAGGAGGTTGATGGGACTTGCATGCCTCAAGCGCAGCCCTGGCTTTGTGGATAGGGTCAGGACAGTGTAGACAGCACTTTACAAAGACCACGTTTCAAAGCAAGTACTTGCAAATAGTCTGTCATAACTACTGACAAATCTTTTGACTATGTACAAATGCTACAGATGTTTCCAGAATCTGTCCTTGGGAAAAATCATGTCCCGGTGGTCTCTTCCTTACTACATCCTTTAAGATACTGATCTTGATCTTAAAAAAAAAAGTCAAGCATGTGCTCCCTCTTCCCAAAATTCACTCCTGTTTCCTTTTCAGTGGTGTAGCTCACTTACTGTTTCACACTGATTTTGTCTCAGATGAAGGTGGAAATCTGCACTGATTCTTAAGTTCTTTTTCTGGATCTAACAGCTGACTCAGAGCTTTCACATCTAAGAAGGATAATCTGATTTATTTTTCCCTAAATGGAATTTTGTATGCCCACTTTCACTGAAGTCCTATTTACTGGCAGTTTCAAAGTGTGCTGGAATTGGCCCTCCGGATCATTTCTAAATTTCATTCCTAGCACTGATCATTGGTGTGTACTCCGGTGGCAAAACCTCTCCGGACCAGAAAAGTACTGACTTCCTGTTCTAAACGAGCTTACCCCTCACAAAGCACGCCCCTACCCCTTGGTGGCTCAAAAGCCAAGTGGCCGATGGAAAGGCCGTTAAAAAATGGGAACTCTGAGAACAGTTTGTTCCCCGGTTCCCATGGCCATTTACCCACCCGAGAAACCTCACGCTGTTAGTCAGCATTACTGCCTTTTTTTTTTTTTTAAAGATTTATTTATTTGTGCATACAGAACTGGGGTACAAGCCAGAGGTGCAGGGTGGTGAGAGGCTTCACCAGAGACAGAACTGAGAGCAGAACAGGCAGATCAAGGAAGCACACTGCTGAGGGGGGCAGCGGGTGGGTCAGGAGAGGTCTGCCTCGCCCTGTGGTCACCTCGGGGGCAGGCGGGGATCAAACTGGTGCTGCAGTAGCTTTAGCTTCTCAGTGCTGTGCTTTAACCCGCTGCGCCACCAGGGAGGGCCAGCATTACTGACTTTTAACGGAAACTGGGCTTGCTTTCCCTGTTGCTTTGCACTGGCCTTCTAAATTCTAGGCGGGCTTTAGTTCTTGGTCGCCTCCGGAGCCTGTGTCAGTGATGAGCCTTGCTCTCTCTTGGTGCTGGGGTTGTTTACGACAGCGGGCTGTACCTCCAGGGATGTCACACAGCTCTCGGAGCTTTTGATCTGTGTCAGAGCACCCCAGTCCGGAAGCAACTGTGTGTCCCTACTCTCTCCCTCCTGTGGCTGATCTTCCTCTTCCACCGAGAGAGCGCCCGAGGCCCCGCAGTGGCTCGTGCTGCTTTGCCACAGAGCTGCGCTGCGGGTCCTTCCCCTGCTGTGGTGTGTGGCTGCGCCGCCGCTGGCTGGCTTGCGCCCTCCACTGCTTCTGTGACCGCTCACGGACCTAAAGTGTCTCTCAGTGGGTCCTTGAGGTCTTCCCTCACTGAGACCGTCCCTCGCTGCTCCCGGTGGCCCTGGGGACTCTGCCCTTCAGCGGCAGGAGCACTCTCACCTACGGGGCTGTTTGTCCATACTAGGTGAGCTTTTTGCGCTTGTTGTACTTGGGCTCATTTATGACTTGTTTGTTCTCGAGGGAAATGCCTCAACTATAACTTCCCTACTGCTGCCTCCCTAACTCCCTTTGCTGGAAGAAAAAAACTGAATTATATTTACCAGTAAGGTGTTTTCTTCCAGGGCAGTGAATTGCTGGGACCTGTTCTGTGTGTGGCTTAGAGGCATCTAGGTGGCTCACGGGAGATCGCACGTTAGTGTGGCCGCTCCGGCCTCTCTCCGCCTGTGCTTCATTGTTCTCGCCTGAAAGCTCTGCTTTGCAGGTGTTCTCTGCTGTTGGGAGGTCCAAGCCTTAGCCAAATGGAAGAAAATGCAGATGGACCCGAACAGCTTTTCTCAGGGGAGCTCTGGCCTGCCCCTCAGGTCTCGGTGGGCACCCATGGCTTTGTGGAGGGGGAGCATGAGGTTTCAGGCCTGGGGACAGGGCGGTGACTTTGATATGGGGTACATAGTGCCTGAGTGTGTGTCTGGGAATCTGGCTTGCAGACGGAGCAGGAAAGAATCAGGTGCAGTTTTGATTAACATGACTCTTAAATGACACATTTATTAAGGTGAATTGTATGGAACTGCAGGTAAGAAATGATCAAATATCAGTATCAATAATCAAATATCACACACACACAGAGCAATTCCAAGGTGACCTTCATTCCAGGTACTGCTCAGAAGGAAGGTGACATGGGAGAGATGAGGGGCCAGGTGTGCATTACGCCAGGAGGAGAATTGTGAGAACGCGACCCTTGTGTTCTCCCCTGCCCCAGACGCTCACCTGTCAGTAGGCCTAGGCTTGTTTTGTCTGTTGTTCTCAAGGATGGGAATAGCAAGGAGGCGTTACTGGGGGACAGCCAGTAACCACCCAGTACTGAGATGGAAGGTGTCCTCAGCGCTTTGGGCTCTGGCGCTCAGCTGAGGTGTCCATGAAGGGGCGACAGGGCATGCCCGGGTGCTGTGCAGGTGCTCATGTGGGTGAGGGGCGGGAGGAGGGAGGCCTGGTTGTGATAGCTTCGAGGTTGTCTAATGACGATCGGGGACCTCCCTCAAATGGGAAGTTGGTTTAGGGTGTTTGGGCATAGCTTTTCTCTTTATGCTTGCACTTAGTTAAGAAGGCTTGCAGGTACACCTAGGGGTTCCCAGCTCGGGAGTGAGCGCAGTGAGAGCACTGAGCACTACCAATAGCGTGGAGCTGTGGGATAAGCGTGGTGGTGGTGGGGGGGGAAGAGCGGAACACACAAGGCAGTGAGGGGCTTTTGATACTGACCAAACCGCCACATTGCTCTTTACAAACACTGACCTTGAGGGCTGCCAGTTTCAGTTTCCAGAGTATATTTTTTATTCAGCGTGCATGTCCGTCACAGCCCTGAGCCTTGGTTGGTGTGCAGAGAAACATCGGGTTTTGTAAAATTTCCCTGGGAGCCCATTACGTGACTGTCACCTTTGAAAACCCCTGGCGTTTAAAAGGTGTAAGGTTGTGGCATTTCTGTTGACGGGGGGGAGGGAGAGAGTATTCCCTCTCATGACCAGGCACAACTGAAAATATTCCTTGGCTCGGTTTACTACGAGAACTCCTCTGGTGGGTGGGTGGGTGGACCCCCTCTTGTTCTGTGGAGGAGTGGGCTCGCCGCGACCCATGGCCCTGGCCTGAGGGCCTGTATTCTGTCCCAGGGCTCTGCTCTCTGGGGGTGGGGGGGTGCAACGCACAGGGGGTACAGGCGATGGGGGAGGGGTCAGGGCAAAGCTGGTCTTTTTGTGACTCTTCTGGTAAGGTCCTTTCTTAAGACGTCCCTTTGTTTTCCTGCTCCTTGGACTGTCACCCACTGTGACCGTGCCTGACCAGAGTGTCCTCCTCCCAAACCCTCGGCCCCTGCGGCAGCCATCGCAGGGTCTCTCTGAACGCCACCATGGCAGTTGGTGTAGATTCTGAGGCATCACGCTAGATTTTCCATCCCCCACTTGCACAGGTGGTCACTCTACTGCTTGTTGTTTTCCTCTCCCAGCTGTTGCCTGCCCATAGTCACCTGCCAGTAAGAAAATGTGTATCCCCAAGGGTAGTACTCCCCAAGATCTCCTGCCTAGTCAGCTCACGGCTCTGTGCCGTCCACACAGCCATGGCCGCTGACCACCAGGTGCTGTGCTGGGTGCCGAGCCCGGGCCTCAGCAGCCAGGAGATAACCTGGGAGATCACTGCTTATCTCCCTGCGTCTGTGAGCTGCCCCGGGGGAGCATGCTCCCTGCTGGGGGGTGGCAAGGGAAGACCTCCCAGGAGAGGTGATGCTGATGGGAGTCTGGAGGTCTCCGGGGTGTGCAGGGCGAGCGGGGGACTCCAGGTGGAGGCACCGGGTGTGCCGAGGCGGAGCGTCGGGCGCCAGGCAGCCCTGGTGGGTCAGATGGTAGAGTGGAGCAGTGGGAGGGCTGGGCCACCAGAGTCCTGGAGTTGATGCGCGAGCCTGGGTTTGGCATCTTGCTGATGGCTGGCTCTGCTTAGGATTAGGTTCTGGGAAGAGGCTGTGGAGGGGGCTTGAGAGGAGGGGCTGATAATGGCTCAGGGACTGCCTCCTCACAGAGCAGAGGCCTGGAGGGGGGATGGAGGGGGCAGGCTTGAAAGTAGTTTGAAGGGGGGGGAATCTCAGGTGCCCCACTGGCAGTGTCCTGGCACTTCCTGCCCCTGTCATTCTTGCTGGGGAAGGAGGAGCACGGTGAGCCATTTTTCCTGTCTTTTGTGGACCTTTGTGGGGAGAAGGGTCTAAAGGGTAATAAGAAGGACGAATAGAGGAGGTTTGTCTCTATCTCTGCCTCCAGGCTCAGCTTGAAAAAATCACATTAAAAATAAGGCAGTTTCAGACTTAGATAAATCACTAGATCTTTGTTACCGTGATTATTAGAAACACAATGATCAGAATATAGTTTATAGCTTAACTCCATTTTCACAATAGTGAATTAAATATAGGTAGAGTTTTTTTGGTTTTTTTTCTATTTTAAAGATGAAGAAGCTGACATTACACAGGTTCGCTGAGGCACAGAGCCAGCAGGTGGCCAGGGACCTGTATCTTCCCGATCTCCCTCGTAGGCCTTTATCTCAGCCCTGCTTCCTGCAGACCTATAGAGTGCTGATGCACCCTGTCCTTTGCTCAGAGTGACCCCTACCTATGAGCCCATGGAAATTTCATTCTGCCTCAGGGCTGGGTTGGGGGGGGTGATGGACGTGGGGAGCAGACTGGTTCACAGTGACCCAGAGACTTAGCTTGGGACCCTGGCTCTGCCCTGGAAATCCGGCCCCTACTGGGCCTCCCAGGTGTGTGTCCTTACACGAACATAGATATTTTGGTACCTCCTAGGTCAGGAGCAGGCAGACCAGGCTTGCACACCCAGGGCTGTTTGTGCCTCCCCTGGTCCCTGCTGGGAGGTGGTGGTGGTCTGGCTTCAGGTGGAGGCATTGTCTGTCTGCTAGGTGCTCGGAAGCTGCCTGTGGGCTGCTGTGTTAAGAGTTGGTTTTATTGAATGTAGCTTAGCTTGTAGTGACAGTAGTAACTGCAGCGTGTTCTTCCTGTGAAAAACTGTCTGAGGTGTTATGTTCCAGGACACAGATTGAACATCACAGCGGAGAACGACTGCCGGCGGTTGCATTGTTCCCTGAGAGACTTGAGCTCCCTCCTGCAGGCTGTGGGCCGCTTGGCGGAGTACTTCATTGGAGACGTGTTTGCTGCGCGCTTCAACGATGCCCTCACGGTTGTGGAGAGGTAGGCCAGTGCTCATGAGCCGTCCGTCTTCAAGCCTCTCGTGTGAGGGGCAGCATGTTGCCAGACAGCTGCTGCTATGGGGCCAGGCACGGCGAAGCCCTGCCGTGAATGAGGGCAGCCTCTGGTCTCCAGGTCCAGCCTAGACATAGAATCTTGTAGGTTTGTTGTGAGAATGAAATGAGACAAGACACTTAATACAGTGCTTAGTATGTAGCAAACACGCGATAAATACAGACCCTCATTTCCCTGAAGATCTTGTGAGTAGATAAAAAAGTTCTAGCTTCAGAAGAAACCAGGTGAGGGCAGAGTGTTAGGATTCATTAAGAGTGCCCATTAGTGCAGCACAGTGTACACACTCCATGTGGGCAGCCAGCTGCCCGAGGTGGGGCTCCCTGTGTCCAGTCCTAGTAGGACCATGGGGAGTTTCAGCTGGGCAGTGACTTCCTCCCTCAAGATCTCTCCTTGGGTTCATTTGTTGAAGACTATTTCCTGTTATCCAGTCCCGCCCTCTCCGCATACTTTAAAGTCATACACATACATGTAAGTGGTAAGAGGTTCAGGTTATTTCAAGGCACCAGCGAGTTGATCAGGTCACAGCATAAGGCCATGGTGCAGCCCGTAGCCAAGACACTGCTGTGTTCACTAGCTCAGTGGCCGAGCTTTGGCGGTGACATGCTGTGGGGGACGAGAGGACGGAGCCAAGCCCAGTTAACTTGTATGACAGATTTCTCTCTAACCACAGAGAGATTAGCCGGGTCTTCAGTTTCTACCGCGTCATTCAGAAAGGAACATGTATCTAGTGAAAGAGGCACTTTCCGCTTCCTAGTGGAGCTGGCTGTTGGCTGTTGTATCTGAGGTTTGTGTGCAGTGAGCCCTTGGATAATCAGTGGGCTCAGTAACATGCTTCTAAGAGAACTGTACTTGCAGTTTAAAATACCTGCATTTATTCTAGAAATGGTTGCTGTTCTTGAATTCCTCCCCCTCTCTTTCTAACATTTTATCTTGAACATTTTCATTTCTCCCCTGTGGTCTTTTTCTCCCTTATTTTTTTTTAAATTGTGTTAAAATACTTAAACTTTGCCATCATAAGGATTTTTAAGTGTACATTTCAGTGCTATTAAATGTATTCATAATGTTGGGCAGCCATCACTAACCCCCATTTCCAAAATGTTTTTATCTTGTAAAACTGAAGTTGCCCATTAAATAACTTTCTATTTCCCCCCTCCCCAAAGCCCCTGGCAACCAAAATTAACTGTTGCTGTCAGTACCTGGTGTCTGTGGATTCGTGTGGTATTTGACAGGTTCCTTTCTCTTAGCACAATTTCCTCAAGGCTCATTCATGTTGGAACTCATTGTAGCACTTGTTTTTTTAAGGCTGAATAGTACTTCATTCAGCCTTAAAATGTATGCACGCTTATATGTATGTAAGTAAAATCTTTTCTTGATCTGTCCTTTGACACCATGTTTTACCTATTGTGAAAGATGCTGCTATGAACATGGGTGTGCACATTAATTCTTTGAAACTCAGCCCCCGCCCCTTTGGGTGCCTGCTCGGAGTGGAGTCGCTGGAGCATGCGTGATTCAGTCACGGCTCTGCTTTCCGGAGCCGCCGTGCCGCTGTCCGTGGCCGTCAGTGGTGCGCGGAGTTCCAGTTCTTGCACATCTTCTCCAGCTCTGCCAGTGTCTGGGTTTCTTTATTTACCGTAGCCATCCTAATGGGAATGAGATGGTATCTTATTGGAGTTCTGCTTTGCATTTCCCTAGGGATGTGTTATGTTGGGCAGTTTTTCATGTGCTTATTGTCTGTTGGTAGATCTTCTTTGAAAAAAATGTCCTTTGCTCATTTTTTAATCAGGCTATTTTTGCTGTTGAGTTTTAGGAGTTCTTTCTGTGTTCTGGATCTTAATGTCTTATCGAAACATCTACTTTAAAATGATTTTAAAAACTAGTAGCACCAACTCTGCTTAATTTTTTCAGTGCTCATTTGTAAAAGTATAGATTCATTCACTGTAGACAGTTTAGAAATACAGAGGAAAAGCATCATCCATAGTAATTCACCTACCTTGTCCTACCTCAAAACATGTGGGAACCAGTAATCATATTTTGGTGAAAATTCTTCCATTCTTCTGATCATAGTGAAAATAGAAAACCTCGAACATGAAATTTGGTTGTATTCTGTATATATATTTGTTACAACCCTTTGAGTTTCAAGTATTTCATGTTTCATTGTTACGTGTACATGTTACCATGCTCGGTATTTCAATACTGTGTTTTATTCTCTATACTGGAAATTTATATATTCTTCAATTTTTTGATATTGTAAATGATGCTTTTATTGGTATCTGTGTATAAATCTTAACAGATATCTCAAAATAGTTGAGATAAAATGGAAGGTCTGGTCTTGATTCATTTTGGTATGAAAAAGTCTGTCCTTCCGGCACTTTGTCCATTTTGTCTCTCGTGGTCCCTGACCTCAGTGCTTTTTCTTACCTGTTTCTTGCCGACAGGTTGGTCAAAGTCACTCTGTACGGGTCTCAGATAAAGCTGTACAACATCGAGACGGCGGTGCCCTCAGTGCTGAAGCCTGACCTCATAGATGTGTGAGTACAGGGCTGCGCTGCCCAAGCGCTCGGTGACGATCCTGGCCGCGTGTCGACAACTTCATAAACAAAGGGGATTGTTGTGGCTTCCGTGAGGAGGAGAAGAGCTCCTCTAACTCCAAGCCCAGACAGGAAGACGAGCTGCATGTCCGGAGGCAGGGGTGGTTGGAGTCACTGCCGTTTGCCAGGCCAGGAACGCTTGGCAGAGAAGCTGAGAGTTGTCATTTCAGGAGGGAAGCAGCGGGCCGGCCGCAGAGGAGCTGCCCAGTCCCACAGGGAGGGGCGCGCAGCTTGCGGTGGGGATGAGGCTGTGTCGTGTCACAACTTTGACGGCTGTGAATTGTGACCTGTAGACCAGTGACTTGAAACTGTGGGGTCTGGAAGGATAGCTTGAACACATTTTCTCAAGAGACTCTGATCATAGCCAGATAGCATAAGGCTCAGTTTATTTGCATATTAAATAAGAAACTTGGGTGATTTTGAAGCAGGACATGCAGGGGGCCCCCCCTGATTGGCAGTTGAGGCACTATCAGTGGTGCATGCGAAGGTGAGAGGAGTGCGGGCTGGAGATGGGCCGTACCCCAGATCTCACACTGGCCAGAAGGGCTGCTCTGGGCTAGAGCCGGGGCTGCCAAATGAAGGCCTGTGCCAGACTGGCTTTCTCTTAGCTTTTGTAGTAAATTTTTGTTGAAAGGCAGGCATGCCCATTCATATACCTACTGCCTGTGCTTCTGTGCCGTCATGGCAGAGCTGAATAGCTGTGGGCTACAAAACCTAAAATATTTACAGGCTGGTTTTTATAGAAGAAAGTGTACTGTCCCCTGTTCTAGACTATTCTATCTATAAATTAGATAAATGACAGACATGCTATTTACTGTGATGTATATATAACTATATCTTCCTGAGAATTTTAGAGAAAGTTATGAAACTTCTGAGAAAGTTGGTAACTTGCCAGGAAACACAGCACATTGCACGTAATTTCAGAAGTTTGAGAGCCTCTTCTTTCAGCCTTCAGGAGGTCTGTACATTTGGCAGATTGACAGAAGCTCTTAAATTCTACCGGCAGTCTTCCTTCTTACTTTTGGTATTCAGAACTTAAAGGATGAAACGATTGGATCCTAAATATAAAATACAAAATAGCTGCCTGGTTCGCTTCCCAGCGTCTGTTTTCCCCTACACGCGGCACTTAGTAACCGACCACTGCCTTAGTGACCAGGCAGTGGCGGCGCGGTGGCGTGCGGCCCTCTAGGCCACGCGGCCGTGGTGACTGCACAGTGCGGCGTGCGTCCGGGAACGGAGCCCTGGCTGTGACACGAGCGCACCGCAGACGTAGTCTGAGAGCCTCAACCCGTGTCTTCCCCCCGCAGGCACGCGCAGGCCCTGGCCGCGCTGCAGGCCCACTCTCACTGGCTGGCGCAGTGCTGCAGCGAGGCTCATCGGCAGAACAGCGAGCAGTTCGTCTCGCTCATCTCCACCACCATGGAGGCCGTCGCACCGCTCATCAGCACCAAGGTCTCGAAGCCGTGAGGGATATGCCTGTGGTCTTACACTCTGTCTTCCTGTCCATTTGTTACCACATCCAGACCCGCGTCGCGTTAGACCCATGCTTCTCGGTGACTGTGACAGAGCTTGTGTCATTTCCTGCTCCCTTTCAGAGCTAGTCTACTTAGTCCAAGCGTAGCTTCATTTTTTTTAGTTCTCTAAGACCCACATGACTACATGCTCATTGTGAAAAAGTAAAATATTGTGCAAATTTAGACTAAAAAACTATAATTTCTTCCTCCAAAAACAATTAACTTTGCAAGGTAAGCATTATCAGCAGCTTGTATGACCTTCAGGCTTTCTGTTTCGACTACACCGCATAGGCCTGTCGTGGCTGGAGAGACGGCTGCTTTTGCTGCACAGCACGCCTGGGAGACGTCGAATGCGAACAGCAACTTTCTTTTTCAGATTGCCGGGTGCTCTTTTGTAGAGGGGATGTATTTTGATTTTCCTCTTGATGGAAATCTTTATCTGTACATCCTTCTAGGATGAGTTCCTGGAAACAGAATTGCTGGGTTAAAGGTCTCATCACGGGAAAGCTGCTGGGCTCTTAAGTTGTCCTCCAAGGCCATCAGTTTGTGCCCTGAGACTGTATGACGCCTGCTCTCCCTATTTTTCGGTGTTAGGCCTCCACAGAATCCGGCACTACTCCTGACGGTGTCCTATTTGCTGTGAAGTTTTGCTGTGTTTATAACTGTGATTTGTGAGTTATCCGCCATGGAGGGTTATTTCATAGTTTGCCTAGCTGTTGCTGGATTTTTTAAATTGCCTCCATTTGGAGAAAAATCATTACATAAAATTCTGATGTGTTTTACTTGTGGCAGTAACTTTATCCTTTTGGTAGTTTTCTTCGGATAAGTGGGATTGTAGAACTACAAGTTGGGGTATCTTATGGTTCTAGGAGATTATAACCATACGTCTTTCCTAAATTACTTCCTGTGCCCTGACTCTGGTGTGCTGTTTCACCACTTTAGCAGTGGTGGGGCCCATCTAAAAGGCACAGAGCAGTACTTGGGTCCACTTTTGCTTTTCAGTTAAAGTAATGTTGAATTATAACCTTCCATAGGTTTCACGTGTGTACCATAAATCGGTATCAGTAGATGTACATACAGATACGGAACATTACGTTACTGCTAAGTCTGACTCCACCTCTGCTTCTACCTGACTTAAGCCCTCCCTCCCACTAGTTTGGCAGAGTCCACGCTTTTATTTTGGTCCTATTTGGTTTATTATTATTATTTTTAACACGAGTGAAATCGTGTGGTGTTTGCCTTTCTCTGACCTGCTTCACTAGCGTTGTGCCCTCTCCACCCATCCATGAAGATGCAGATGGCAGGGTTCCATCTGTGTATAGCTGCCTAGTATTCCCCTGTTCATACAGAGCACGTCTTTATCCAGTCAGCTATTGATGGGTACTCTGGTGGTTTGCAGCTCTTGAGTGTTGTGAATATCTCTCAAATTAGTGCTTTTATATTCTTTAGTAAATGCCTAGAAGTGGATAATTGGCTCATATGGAATTTGTTTTTAATTTTTAAAAAAGATTATTTGTTTATGCATATAGAACTGGGGTATAGGCCATAGGTACAGAGGTGGTGAGAGGCTTCACCAGAGACAGAGTGGGGAGCAGAAAAAGCAGTTGACAAGGTACACTACTGAGGGGAGCAGCAGGAGAGGTCTGCTGTGTCATGTGGGTCAGCTCCCTGGTAGCAAACTTGTGCTGCAGTGGCTGCAGCTAGCTTCTTAGTGCTATTCTTTAACATGTTAAGCCTTTAGGGTGGGTCCTCTATTTTTAGTTTTTTGTGGTATCTTCCTACTGTTTTCCATAACAGCTGCACTAATTTACATTGCCACCCACATTGTATAAGGTGAACCTGGTTTTACACAGGCATGTTGAGGTGCAGGCGGCAGTTGTGACTGGCTTGGCTGCTGGAGTGAGGCAGGCATGGGCAAAGAGAGAGCTTGGCTTGGTTGCACCAGGAGGAGTGTGATGAGCAGTCCCAGTTGTGTGAGTTGTGTGCCAACAAATTTACCATGTGCTTTGAGAATGGGTAGGGAGCCACCATAGATTCTTGAACTGAGAAGTGACTGAGTTGCAGGATATAAGTGACTGAACGGAAGGAACTGGAATGGTGACCCTGGCTTGAGGGTGGCGCATGGACATGTCAGAGGAGGATGCCTGGTGGCTGGGAGTCTTGGGAGCAGGCGGTAGAGTTTGGCAGGCAAGAACCTCATGCAGCTTGTGGCCACCTCATCAATGCTCTTGCGAACCCATGTGTCCTTCCCGCTCCAGGTCCAAGACAAGTTGCTGCTCTCTGCATGCCACCTGCTGGTCTCACTGGCTACTACCGTGCGGCCCGTCTTTCTGATCAGCATCCCTGCAGTGCAGAAGGTGTTCAGCAGAATCACGGATGCCTCTGCCCAGCGACTTGTTGATAAGGTGAGTTCAAGGGCCACAGCTTTGGGGAAGCCGAGGAAGGAGCGTCTGCCCCCCTTTATGCACTCAGAGCTTACGGACTGTGTCAGCCCTGACCTGCTTCTTACATGTGGCACGCTCGTTCGGCCTTTGCCAGTGCTGTCGGTCAGTGTGCCGTGTCATCGGAGAGCCCCTGCCCACATGGACAGAGGTGGTGCTGATAATCTGGCTGCTGTTGAGAATCTTCTGCCTTCTTTTTGGTCCATCTCAGTCTATTTTTTGTTGTTGTTAGGTTTGTTGAGAAACTCCAGACAGGTACAATATATTCTCTTAATGTAGCTTAAAAATAGGCTGTGGGGGGTTCAGGGTGGAAGTGTAAAACTTTTTTTTTTTTAAAGATTGATTTATTTATGCATACAGAACTGGGGTATAGGCCAGAGGTGTGGTGGGTGAGAGGCTTCACCAGAGACAGAGTAGGGAGCAGAACAAGCAGTTGAGAAAGCACACTGCTGAGGGAGCAGCGGGCAGGTCAGGAGAGCTCTGCCACGCCATGTGGGTCAGCTCCCTGGCTGGGGGTGGAACTCGTGCTGCAGTGGCTGCGGAGAGCTTCATAATGTGGTGCTTTAAGCTGTTGCCCTGCCAGGGAGAGCCCCGGAAGTGTAAAACTTTTAAAAAGGGTTGGATGAGAGGGGGGGTCAGAGGACCTGGGACTTGGGCCTGTTGCTGTGGGTGTGATGCCAAGGGTGTGTTGATCGTAAGATTCTCTTAACCACCCCTGTTCTGAGTAACTCCTCTGGGTGGCAGGAGCCAGCATTGCAGGGGTTTGCTAGCTTCAGTGTCTTAAGGTGGGTTCTCCTGCCATTCTTCAAGGGGAAGGACCTGTGCCAGGAGCCATCGGTGTGCCAGGCCGAGACTTGGCACTGGCGCTTCATTTCATCCTTCCTCACTGCCCCCCTAGAGCTGGTGGGTCCAAAGCCCCAGGCAGGGTTACGAGGGGGAAACTGGGGATCTGAGCTGAGCACATGCAGTGGGACATGAGGCGCATCAGGCGTGGTCTCCCTGTCGCCTGTTGCTCTGCGGTCACTGCTGGGGGCCTCAGGGTCTTTTCTCTTGCAGGCTCAGGTGCTGGTGTGCCGAGCCCTCTCCAACATCCTGCTGCTCCCGTGGCCAAACCTCCCAGAGAATGAGCAGCAGTGGCCTGTGCGCTCCATCAACCACGCCAGCCTCATCTCCGCACTCTCCCGCGACTATCGCAACCTGAAACCCAGTGAAGTCGCCCCCCAGAGGAAGATGCCGCTCAGTGACAGTAAGTGACCCCCCAGGAGCTGCAGCCCCAGCGGGGGGCTGGTGCTGTCCTTCCTTTATGGTGGCTGAAATGGCACCTCCATCTCATAACGTGAGTTCTTCTGTTCGTAAGACGTGTGCTGCCTCGAGGACGAGTGCCCGCAGAAAGACGTGACATAGCAGAAAAAGTAGTAAATGCTCCACATGCTTTAAAAGTTAAAATAAAAAACATTTAACATATATGCTCATTGTAAAAAAAGTAATATTAAGGAGAAAGAAACTTAAATCTCGCCAGTTTTAGTACTTTAGGAAGTAACCATTTTAACTGTCTTGCTTTCCTTGTCCTGGTTTTAGACATATGTTACATGGTTACCCGCTGCCCTTCTGTGAGGGCTCACGGGCGGGTGCTCTCGTGTCCACTCAGGGGTCACCAGCTGTGCCAGCCCCCGCCTCCCAAGTCTGATACTTGTCCTCAGCATTTAATGCCAGTCAGTCATTCCGTTCTCACATCAGCTTTTAGAGTCCGGTCCTTTTAATTATCCTGGTTTATTCCTCAAAGAAACAGAAGACTTGAGTCGCTTCCCCAGGGGTTATATATGGCTGTTAGGGAATTACGTTCTGTGAAGTTTAAGTCTTTTCTTCATATGTTGTTCATGTAATTGTATTAGTGAGTGTAAGTTAGGTCATGTGTTCATAGGCAGTCCCCAAGTTTTACGGTTTCCTGCAGAAAAGTATTTCTCGTGCCTTGTTCCATGTCCAGCCTGGGTCAGGGATTCGGGATGCGTCTTTGTTCCGGTCACTCGACCCGGCGGTGAAGGCCGCACGCTGCACGTCATGCTGGGGAGGGGTGTGGGCTGAGGTGCTTCCTGCAGCTCCTGCCCGCTGGTGCCCCGTCTCTCTCCTTGGCTCTGGGTAGGCGGCCACGGCGCACCTTCAAGGCTGGTGCCGTGTGTGCTGGGGGGGCGCCCGGCTCCCGCGGGGTCTCTGTCGGTTTCCAAGTGCCAGACACGGGCTGAGAACTTTGTTGCTTTATTTAATCTTCCCTGGCTCTGTGCCGTTTAGCTTATCCTTATTCGTCGAGTGTGAAGATGAAGGCAAGGACAGGTTTTCTTAGTCTAACTTTTTACCTTGAAATAAAGTCAGTCAGAATAGTTGAAAGAAGAAGAAAAGGACGGTACTAGTTTATCTCGGGCCAGGATCTGCCGCTCTAACGTCTTGTCACGGCGCTGCCCCCCTGCCCCCCCCCCCCAAGCACACCCTTCCTTTTCAGTAAGCTGCTGGCCTGGACGCTTTATCCCTGAGAACCAGACAGTCTCTTATGTAACCAGCTACCACTGGCACCATCGGCTACGTGCCTTTATAGTGCCACTTACCACACTGTGTGGGAATTTTCCCAGCGGTTACCAAATTGTCCTTTTTTTGCTTTTTAAGAACCCAGGGTATGTGTTGTATCTGGCTGCACCTCACTTTACTGCTGTTTCATTATGGAAAAGCATCCCTGTTTTTCCGTTTCATGGCATTGAGGTTTTTGCCGAGTCCAGGCCCATTTCTTGTGGACTGTCCGCAATGACGCGCTGACTGCTCTGGCGCTCCTGGGCAAGCATGTGAAGAACAGCCAGGGCACACCTGTTTCGGCGTTCCTGTGTCTCTCCGTTGTTGATGGTGCTCGGGGTGATCACCTGGCAGTCTCCCCCTTGCTGGTTGCCGCCACCTGAAGGGGAAAACAACCCAGAGGTGCTGGGAATGGCACTTCCCTGTCCTGGACCTTCTGATGTGCCAGGCACTTTGCTAGAATTACCCTGAACCCTGTCTTTGATCCTTGGAGCATCATTGATGGCCCCCTACCCCCACCCCAAGGAGGACTCCGCCCCAGGTGATGTTCCTCGATCTGGTGCCTCGTTGCCAGCCCAGCACACCTGGTCGGGGCCCTTGCTTGTCCTCTGGACTCTGGCCTCTGTCCTGGCTACCGCCACTCTTTGCCTGGGTGTGTGAGGAGACATCAAGCGTGCTCACACAGTACAAGTGCCTGTTGTCTGTGACATGTGAAATTAAGCAGTGTCACAACAACTAGGATGCACACATGCATCAGGCTGCAGCCCTGGACTAGTCAGACACTCCGTCCCGACCACAGCAGCCGTGGGCATGGCCGCAGGGCTGTGTAGCTGGCGGTCGTGCCCGGCAGTAGAGACCCCGCCTGATCTGCATGTGTCCGCTGTCGCCTGTGCTGATGGCCTTGGGCTAAGTTAGACTAAGAAAACCTGTCCTTGCCTTCATCTTCACACTCGACGAACAAGGATAAGCAGTGTATTCACCGTCTTGAGTCCTGATCAAGTCCAGGGCCCTTGACCTGTGTGTACGTTGCATCTTCTCTGTAGACTTGTCTTCTGGGGGCTAGAAGCAAAATGGCGGCAAAAAAGCTGGAGTCCTGACAGGAAAGGGGGTAATGGAAAAGGTAGAGACTGGTAACGCAGCCCAGAAAGACTGCCCTTGAGCAGGATCCTGTGGGACTGTCCCTGCGGCCCCCCGCACGCGTCCTCCCGCGTGCCCTCGCGCCCTGCTCTGCCTCACTGCCACTGGCGTCCTGACGCGCAACTTCGTTTTGGTTTGCAGCCAAAGTGATTATCCACCAGACGCTTAGTGTCTTAGAAGATATTGTGGAGAATATTTCTGGGGAATCCACCAAGTCCCGCCAGATCTGCTACCAGTCGCTGCAGGAGTCTGTCCAGGTCTCCCTGGCCCTGTTTCCAGCGTTCATCCATCAGTCAGGTAGGTGCTGCCATGGGCCTCGCTGATGGCCGCGCTGAGACGCCCTGTTGAGCTGGTGCCTGGTGCCCCGGGCAGAGGAGGTGGGGCTTCTTCGGGATCCTGGGACTGAGGCCCCTGGGGCCTTTGTGTGGGTGCTCAGCTGTGCCTGTGGCACCGTGACTCTGGAGCCTCTTGCCTAGTTTGTTTTAAGCCTTTGCCTTCTCCCGCAAGGAATGTAAGTGGAGGGGAGTAACAGAACCGGAACTTTCTGATATGCTGCTCACTTACATAGCAGGGGGCTTGCCGAGATGGTTCCCACTGGTCACTGGCTTGCTCTAGCTCTCTGGGTGACTTGCCCGGCTCTCAGGAGAGCACTTAGGAGAGAAATGCCAGGGGCTTCTCAGTCAGCAAATAGCCCGTGATTGCCTCTTTTAAGCAGAGTGTGTGTAGCCGGAGCCAAGACGTACTGCCTGGGATGATGATTTAGATCTGGAAGTGGAACTGCCCTAAATGCAACCAGTATTTTCTGTAGTTGATCCATCGAATGGACCAGGGCCTTGCAATCTGAGTACATCCTTTTTATCCACTGCAGTTGTTTAACCTCTGACCCAAAACCTCTGCAGGATTATTGATCATAGAGAGAAAATGGCTAAAGCACTCAGGTGTTGACCCAGTGCGGAGTTACATGTGGGTGGGGGTGGGGGGTGGGGCACAGAGTGCTCACTGCAGGGAAGGGGAATGTGGCGGATGCTGGCAGCGAGGGAGGCTCCGCGACGCCCTTCCCTCCCTGTAGGCAGCCATGAGCACAGCTTCACTGTACCAGAGCTGTTTCTCAGCGTGTCCTTAATCTGTTTCCACTTTCCGTCACTGGCTCTGATGGTGTGGGGGAATTTCTTCCAGCAGGAAGCCTTAGCACGAGATGATAGTGTGCAGATTGCAAAGGAAGCCCACCAAGCCACGGACTCGGCTCACCCGGTGTGTGTGCTCTGACCTTCTCCTCTGTCCTTTGTTTAGATGTGACTGACGAGATGCTGAGCTTCTTCCTCACTCTGTTTCGAGGCCTTAGAGTGCAGATGGGAGTGCCTTTCACTGAACAGATCATACAGACTTTCCTCAATATGTTTACCAGGTAACCGGGGACCCGCTGCCCGGCCCGGGGTTTTCAGATTCCCAGTGGAATTGGTAGGACCGGTTGCAAAGCCAGGACTTCGGCTCTCTGTCTTCACATTCCAGGGTGCTGATGTTTGCGCTGGGCCCAGAGAAACATTTCCTTGGCTACTGTGTGGTTTTTCTTGTCTGCAGGGAACAGTTGGCTGAGAGCATCCTCCATGAAGGCAGCACGGGCTGCCGGGTGGTGGAGAAGTTCCTGAAGATCTTGCAAGTGGTGGTCCAGGAGCCTGGCCAGGTGTTCAAGCCCTTCCTCCCCAGCATCATCTCCCTGTGCATGGAGCAGGTGTACCCCATCATTGCTGAGGTATGTGTGGGTGGATGGTCCCATGCACCTCCCATCTGACTCGGGTGAGGGGCATACCAAGGAGAGTACACTGTGTTTTAAAGCTAATTTGTTATTTTTCTTGTAAATTCTACCCCCCCCCCAAAAAAAAAAAGGAATGCCTTCAGCTTGGTAGTCTTTTGTATTGGGGGAGCTATAACTAGAACTAGCCTAGCGTGTAAGCTAGCAGGTTGTCGCAAGCTCGGCTGGTAACCAAGGTTAGTCTCCCACAGCAAACGTGTAAGTTTAAGCAATGTATGGTTTCCAGCAGCAAACATGACAAATGCACTTCCCTGTTAAGAACACTCAGGCGCTCACGGAGACCAGGCAAGTTCTTAGAACCGTTAAAAGCTTTCATTGTTACAGGGCAGCTCTCTGTCCTTCTTAGAAAACAGCCTCAGCATGACCAGGTCCAGAGTGAGTGTAGATGTGGTGTGTATTTATGTGTTAGTCACGTAACAGGCGCTGACCTTTGAGACCACACTAAGGTGAAGTGGGGCCAGGGCTTTGCGCCACTGAACGTGCCCAGGCCTGTAGGGACTCCGGCCATGGCAGCTTGGGCCCTGCTGTCTTAAGTTTCATTTTCATCAAGGCTAAGTTAAGTATCTGGGCCTTCTGATGTTGAATTCCAGAGTTATTTGGGATAACTGTCATACTGGCCAGTGACTTGGAGATTATGGGCAGAAAACGGTTCTGGCCTGCCGCATCCCCGCGCACCCCCCCTGCCCCTTGATGTTTCCATCTGCGGTTCCGAGTGCTCTGTGAAGGTCTCTTCTGCACAGAGCCACTTTGATGGCTGCTTATTTGTCCTTAGCTTCAGAGGTTGCATCAGGTCAGCGGGTTAGCTCAGGCATTCGTTATCCTGGGTGTCCAGTCAGCTGCATTCTGATCAGAAAAGGAACATTCCTAATTGTTTTTCCATTTAGTTGCTTCTGTTGTCCTGAGAGCTTTTATCAGGAAAATGTCAGACACCAGCCTAGGCATTCTAGCTCAGCCGTGGTCTGACTCTTTGTGCGTCCTCTGGATTCAACTGCTTGACCAAGAGGGGCTTAAAGGGCCAGAGTGAGGGTGGGAGCTGACACTGCTCGCTGTTACCAGGTGACCCTTAGACCTCTGTTGCTGTGGGCCTGCACGGGGAGGGCTCCCCGAGCTGTGGGAAGGGAAACGTGAAGGCTGTGTGTGTCCCCACAGCGCCCCTCCCAGAGGTGAAGGCTGTGTGTGTCCCCACAGCGCCCCTCCC